TTTTCCCAAATTTTCAGCACTTGCCTCTGATCTACTATTCTATTCCCCTGGGAGTCTTCGATGCCAATATTTTGAATCCCATGGTTCTCTTTCCATCCTAGTTCTTTTGTCTTCATGTACATCAAATCATAACGTCCTGTCCTTTGAAATTCTATAATCTCATTACATATCTTCTCAAGATATTCCTTTTTTGGCCCTGTCCGTGGCTCTTTTCATTCCTCGGTCTCCTGTATTTCCTCCTGCCTTCTTCACTGTTTACATTCTTACATTTCCTTCACTCCTCCATTTTACTCATCTCCTGTGTAACCCATGGTTTTCTTGCTATCTTCTCAACTTTACCAACCAATTCGCTAATAGTATCTAACATGCATTCTTTTATATTGTTCCCCTGCACTTCAGCATTTTCGCTTTCACTTTCAATTGCACTGAGTTTCTCTTCTAGGGTCTCCTGCACGCTTTGTCTTTGAGCATATAACTTCTCCAAATCCCATCTAGGTCTGCGCTTTTGGAATCTTATAATTTTCTTCAACCTGGTTCGAAACTTGGCTTTAATAATAAGACACTAAAATCAAAATGAGACAACTGACAGAAATGTCAATTCTGATCCCACCAACTGCTCTGCATTCATTGCTCATCTGCTCCTGTATAGTTTTAATATCGAGTCATTAATTAACCAACATATAAGAAAAAGCAATGGTTTGGAAAGACAAGCAGGCCATGTTCATATTTATAATATGCATAAACTACCAGCAGAACGAAACTACTTTTATAAACATGGGAAAGTTCAGAAACCTGTCACTGTTGAGACTACAACTGACACAGGGCTTATGTGAACAAAGGGAACAGAATGGCTAATTACCCAATCAGCAGGAGAATATGGAAGCAGACAGAAAAAACAAAATATTTTTCATCTCTTGGATTGAACACCTACATCAGTGGTTCTCAACCTTTGTGAGACTGTGGCCTGGTAAATTCTTTTGTTATAAAATGAGGGCCCGGTAATACTGATGCCAGAGCCTGGTACCAGGCCGTGGCCCAGCAATTGAGAAAGACTGACATACATCATCCTACCACATGGTACTAAATAGACCACCAAAGATTTTGGTTCAAAGTTTGTTGGAAGATAGTCATGTCAAAGTCAGAAGCTAGCCAAAAGATGAAAAAAGACTACCAAACATAGAGCTTAAAGTGCAAAGTCAGGCTACATATAGTCTGAAAGCCTCAAATATTACATACGTATAGTCTGTTTTCATATTTACCACAAAAGTGAACTTGTAAATCAAAATTCTGTCATAATGTGGGAAGAAAAACATTTCCATAAGTTCTGAATATTTGGATTTATACATATAGTATATTGTTATACTTCAGGAATCAGTAACACGATTGGAAGCAAACTTCATAACAGTAAAAGATACCACTATCAAATTTGGCAATGCTTTGACTTTGCTGCAGTCTCACAGAACAGACCCAAGTACGAGGTTGAGTCAAATGACAACCATATTTTTTTAAAATGTAAATTACTGAATGAAATCAGTACACAACTATATCATTTTTCTACATAGTCTCCATTTCGTTCCATATAGGCCCTCCAGCGTTTACAAAGTGTATGGATTCCTCTAGAAAAAAATTCTTGTGGTTGCGCAACCACTCATGCACCACCTGCTGTACCTCTTCATCAGAACGGAACTTCTTTCCTCCCATCGCCTCTTTGAGTGGCCCAAACATGTGGTAATCAATTGGGGCTAGATCTGGTAAGTATGGCAGATGTGGAAGACACTCAAAGTGCAAGTCTTGGATTGTTGCAACTGTTGCACAGGCAGTATGGGGCATTGTCATGTTGCAAAAGACACCTCTAGCCAAAAGTCTACATCACTTTGATCTGACTGCAGGTCGAAGATGATTCTTCAAGAGATCTGAATATGAGGCACTGGTGATAGTGTTCCCCTGAGGCGCTGCTGTGACAAGCCTGCATCACCATACTGAATCTTCATCTCTCGATGAACTTCAATTGGTTTCATACCTTCACTGATCAAAAAACGAATTACAGAAAATTGTTCTTCTTTCGTGCATGTATGTAGTTGAGCAGCCATCTTCAAACTGGCACTGTGATGGCGTTCTGTTTGTCTGCATTATACTGCCACCTACAGGATACTCTTTATAGCATTGGTAACATGTCTGCCAACTTATAGGACAATGGCACGATATTTCAAATTTTTATCTCAGTTTTACGGTTTTCATTTGACTCACCTATGTATTTAACAGTTAGAATGGATGGGCAACACAGAAAACTTGTGTATTAGTGTCTTGCCAGCAATTCATTGTTACAAACAAATTACTGCAACTCATTGTGCATTCCAAGTATGCCAATGAGCTAACCCTGATGGAGGCTCCAGCCACAGTAACTTTGACTGAAAGGCCACGTCACAGCTCAAGCGGTTAGTTGCTGGCTTTCCATCAAGTCAGCCCGGGTCTGGTCAAGTGGGATTTGTGGTGGACAAAGTGGCACTGGGGCAGGTTTTCTCAGAGCACTTTGGTTTACCCTGCCAATCTTCATTCCACCAAATTCATCATCATAATCACCTGGGGCAAGCTACAGTAGGCCAATCAGTGGTCGCCGTGCCAAGTGGACCCAGTTGGACTCCACCCTCCACTAAGCGAATTAAAAAAAAAACTTTGACAAATCCATGAGGGAATGTCAGGAAATGACATCTCATTCATTCAGAGGCAACATGCAGGAACTTAAGGATGTAGGCAAGTGAAGTCTAGACAGTGGAGTTTAAGACGTTTTATTCTATAATCTTATGTAATATACAAAGACATAATTTTTCGAAAGAGTACATGTCAGTATTCCTTCACAATGAGTCCTAATCAAGGGGTGGAATTAGTGGGAGGAAATTATTTTGTTCAGATCTGAGAAAGTAAACAAGCCTCCAGTTAATATTTGTTTCCAGAAACATGGAAAGTAATTTTAAACAGAAAACACGTAAGTACTGCCTCAAAGTAAATTATATCAGGACTGGGTACTTCATGCAGTGGCTACCTTGCATTGTACATTGTGTAGTTAATGAGGAGACTGTACAAAAAATCATCTCACATATTTCCCACAACCTTTTTGTGTGTGTGAAATTTACACTGCAGTACTTGTTTCTGTTTGACTGAGAATCACAGAGACATGCCTGGGGTCAAAATAACTCTCAATATAATAATAATAATAATAATAACGATTTTATATTTCACTTCTTTCACATAACTTGGATAATGTGAGACAGGAAAGATGAATGGGTCAAAGAGACACGTAGAAAAAGGACTTCAATCATACCACAAAACTTTAGAAGGCAAAGAAAGCAGTTTGAATTTGTTGTTTTATACGCTGTAAGGTAAAATGTGTAACATATTTTCAAGAATCAGTGTTACCGCTGCAGGAAATTATCGATGTCTTCTTCTGCGATCCTTCCTTCCACTTCCTGTGGGGGTGGGTGATGGCTGTGCTGATTCACCAATCACAATCCTGCCTTCTGCAATCTCATCCCTATCAGCAGATTCAGATATCTGTTTTTGGGCCTCTAAGAAGAACATGACATCTCGCAGTTGCTCACGAACATCAGCCAATTCCTAATGATGGTGACACAGTAAAAGTTTCAATGTAAGAGAAGAATTTGTCATTCTATTCCTGGAAGTACTGGGAAAGTGACAAATAATCTGGTAGCAGAACCCACAGGAGCTATCCCTGTAACAAGCTATGGAGGCCCATAGGTTGTGAGACATCGAGGCTTCCACATTTTGTAGACAACTGGCTCACAGATGGCAGTGAGGCTGTCAGCCTCATGTGACAGCCACCATTTACCCCCCATGAAGATTCCTGGTATTCATTTCTGTTAGAGGCTGCATGACTCCCGAAGTACAATAACCAAAAAATTGGTTGTGAATGGAGGAAAATGTCTCTGAAGATAGAGGGCAGCAGATGTATTTCAATGTATATTAAATAATTAATTACAGACAGCCAACAAGGTGTAAGTTCTCTAGCTTGGGGGTTTGGTATAGGCTAAGAACCCTTCACCATATAATGCTGTGTCACCTAAGATACAAATATTGAAAAAGTAAATAAATCTGAATTACACTGGTGTCCAGCTACAGTACTGTCCACATCATCAATCTGACAAAATAAAGAGGTCCTTTCAATAGCATTAAACTAGTATTAAATTTCTGTTGTCCACTACAGATTTACATCAGACAACTCTGCACCCCAGCATGGCACCACTACAGGTCTGTGACTTGTCAGAACATTTAGAACAAAATTCCACATACAGGAAAACATAACTTCAGAAGTATATTCATTAAGTCCTATATATTATATAACCAAAGATTTTCCCAGTAGGACTGCATTATTTTTATTAGAAGCATATGCATTTTAGCTCTGCATGAGTCATCACCAGGGCTAACATACTGTATTTGTGTGTGTGTGTGTGTGTGGGGGGGGGAGGTAAAGCTATATCTCTAAAAAGCCATGAAGGCCCACAGACGTCAAGGTTCCCACATTTTATAGACAATCGGCTCACAGATGGCAGTGAGGTCAGCCTTACGTGTCAGCTGTAAGATTCCTCGAACTCATTTCAGTTAGAGGCTGAGTTGACCCCAGGGCCATAGCGCAGCTGGGAGGATTAGGTCAATTGAAAAAATTCAATGACCTCATTTACATTCAAACCTGAAACCTTCCAGCTTGTAGCATAGTGCCTCAACCAACTACACACTACTGTGTGCACATGCATACACCCACTCACAAAAATGTGGGACAATAATTCCTGCATATCTTTTTTATCCCTATCAAGTGCAAATAATATATAACAGTTAGTATACAATTTACATTTAACAAATGTGTTCAGCAGACAGACTTATAAATGAAATAAGCCAGCAAAGCTTGCTTGCTGCCTGTTTCATGCTTGTTTCTTGCTTGGCTTACTCTTCAGTACTGAAAATGGAGGCAACATGTTCCTCTAAAAATGTCTGCTGACTGTCAATGAACTACACAATGTTACACCCCAGAAGACATAACTCTTTAATCTAAAGTTCCTCTTCACTTAATTTAAATCAGTAAAGCACAGTCATGGGACCTGTCTCTTAGAATGAAAAATATAATTTTCAGACTTCTGAAACATAAATATATCTGCACTAGGGCTCCAACTCATGTACTCACAATCTGATCATAACATTCAATACTGTAAATATACAAAATACATTCTGACGATGGTGTATAACACATAGAGATATTGGGTTTTCAGACTTTATCCATCATCCTGGTTTTAAGATAACTAAGAAAAACACAACGTTTCGGAAACTGGATCTGTTTCCGTCCTCAGGTGAGGGAAAACACCTATTCTGTTGGGTCCCTTAGAAAGAGTTAGCCTCAGTCACTGGACCTAAGGATGAATTTCTTAGATGATGAGGCTGGGGTAGAAGGGGCTCTATTTTGTTGACTGTTGAGATGGGAAAACTTGCGAATATGAACAGCTTTCTGCTTATTGAAGATTTTCTTGAATGAACTTTCCACAGCGGTGAAGATACGCTGTTGGTCGGAAATATTTACAGATGACTTGAGAAAATCCTTCAGTTGATTGATTTCATATATTTGGGAAGTCTTCTTATGCCAATGACAGTGTAACCTATCCCCAAGAAGTGCCTGGTTGGCATGTAAGGCAATTTTGGAGGTCCGTCGACTGTTGAAGGGCGTCTTTACAGAGAAGACTATGGGGATGATGTCATGAGATTTGCATCTCCTAAGGAAAGTTATATGATTGAGGGTTTCGGCTAACTGAATTTTCAGGTGTTCTAATTTTCTAAAGGAAGGGTATATACCGGGTCCATACCAGTTGTACAAGTACGTAGCTGATTCCAAAAGTAAGGTCTCCAAAGCGCTGGGTAATTTTTCGTGCGGCTGTTGGCAACCCTGTTGCATTCATTGCTTCCCCCACTCCCCCCAATACCACCAAGCATGCGCGCACGTAGCTAGGATGCTCAGTCTTGGCACGGTTGCTGTTAGAAATGGAGCTCCCGATTACTAAAACCGCGAAGTGTGAGATTCGCGCAGTTATTCGGTTTTTGAACACAAAAGGGACTAAACCAATTGAAATTCATCGTCAATTGGTGGAAGTGTATGGCGAGTTGTGCATGGACATAAAGAACGTCCGCAAGTGGTGTAGGGAGTTTGAATCTGGTCGTACTGCAATACACGACGAAAAAAGAACTGGGAGACGGTCAATTTCTGACGAGACAGTCGCGAAGATTGAGCGAGTCATGCGTCAGGATAGGCGCATCACACTCGATGATCTCTGCATTTCGGTTCCCGAGGTTTCCTGAACCACCATTTATCGGGTTTTGACAGAGAAGTTGAATTATCAGAAGGTGTGCGCAAGATGGGTCCTGCGAATGCTCACGGAAGACCACAAACGGCAGAGAGTTGACTCTTCCCGTGAATTTCTTCGCCGCTATGCTGACGAAAAGGACAACTTCTTGAATTAAATTGTCACAGGCGACGAAACCTGGGCGTACCACTTCACACCTGAGACAAAACAACAATCACGTCAGTGGCGGCATTCCTCTTCGCCTAAGCCTCGAAAATTCAAGCAAACACAGTCTGCCGGTAAAGTCATGGCAACTGTGTTTTGGGATCGAAACGGGGTATTGTTGGTTGACTTTATGGAAACTGGGACCACAATAAACGCTGAGAGATATTGTGAGACACTGAGAAAACTCAGGCGGGCGATTCAGAACCGGAGAAGAGGGATGTTGAGCAAGGGCGTAAGCATTCTCCACGATAACGCTCGCCCCCATGCTGCCCGACAAACCGTCGCTCAACTGCAACAGTTTGGATGGAACATCATCACCCATCCACCCTATAGTCCGGACTTGGCGCCCAGTGACTACCATCTCTTTCCAAAGTTGAAAGAACATTTGTCTGGAAAGCGCTTCAACAATGACGATGAGGTGAAAGCTGAGGTTCGAAGTTTCCTGAACAGCATGGAGGTGAACTGGTATGATATGGGCATACAAAAACTGCCACTGCGCCTACAAAAATGCATCGACCGAAATGGCGATTATGTAGAGAAATGAGTACATGTTCAAGATTCAACTGATGTATCCAAAATTGAAAATAAATGTTTATTTTATATTTTCAAACATAGGAGACCTTACTTTTGGAATTACCCTCGTAGTTACTATAGGATTTTGACGATGGTGTATAAATATAGAGATACTGGGTTTTCGGACTTTATCCATCGTCCTGGTCCAGTGATCCAACAGAATAGGTGTTTTTCCTCACCCGAGGACGGAAACAGATCCAGTTTCCGAAATGTCGTGTTTTTCTTAGTTGTCTTTAAATCAGGACGATGGATAAAGTCTGAAAACAAAATATGTTTCAAGAACTTTCACCAGCAACCATTTTTCATGAAAATGAGGATAGAAAGCCTGTTGTTGGCAGATCCACATACAGGAAGAAGGTATGGGCAAACAGTGCATGAATCCTCTCTATGATATGCTGACAAAAATATGATACTTTACCTTATCTTTGTCAATTCTACATTCATTAAATTGTTTCTCCAAGGCCTGAAACTTAGATTGCCAAGCTGACTGGTTTTGCTGTAAGGCATGATTCATCTGTCGTTCATCCTGCAACTCTGATTGGGCCATAGATAGCCTTCCCATAACATGCTGTAACTGTCAAGAGAACAAGCAAAAGTAATTTATGCTGTTACAATACCAATATGCAGTATAGAAACCATTTAAAGACTGAATTTTTTCTAAATAATATATGAAACTTCAGTTCGTGCTTCACAGGAAACATATTACTTCTTTGCTTCAAAGACAAATCTGTTAATGTTGTTTAGAAAAACAATTACTGTTCATGGTGAGAACCATTTTAAACACAAAAATACACTGTGGACAGAATGCAGAGTTTTAGAATATTAAATATGGTGATTCATATACATAGGGCAGTCAAAAAGTTCTCGGAATTCCCCTGCAGATGGAGAACGAACGATAAGATGGCTCACATACTGTTGTGGTGGGGAGCTCAGCATGTCTGCTCGCAGGTGCAACAGGTCTGGACAGGTTTCAGTGTGCAGTGTCGTTACTGTTCCGTTTGAATTAGATGTGAGTGTTGGTCATTCAGTGCAATGTCGCAGTTCGAACAGTGTGCAAACTGGGAAAATATGCTTCAGAGACGCAATTGGCCCTGCAGCAAGTTTACAGTGATACTGCACTAAAGAAATCCGCAGTTTACGACTGGTTTTCCCAGTTTAAGAATGGGCAGGAGACGTTAGAGGATGACCAGCGCAGCGTGAGACCTTCCACATCCAGAACCGAAGAAATGACTGGAAAAGTGCGACAACTGATTCAATGTGATTGAAGAATGGAATGACCATCGTGGAGTTGGAGCAAAAAGCTAGTATCTCTCACGGATCCATTCATGCCATTTTGCCCGATGAGACGCGTCAATGCAAAGTTTGTTCCGAGGCAGCTGACCACGGATCAGATGGAATGTTGCATGATGGTCGCTGGCAATCTGTTTGACAAAAGTATGCAGGAACCGACGTTTCTCAAAAAGATTGTCACTGGTGTTCTCCTACGACCCAGAGATGAAGATGCAGTCATCGGAGTGGCACACAGTGTCATCTCCCCAGCCAAAAAAAAATCATGCCTCGTCAGATCCAAAGATAAAATGATGCTCATTGCATTCTTTGACGACGGTTTGGGGCACCATGAGTTTGTACCGCCTGGACAGACTGTTACTGGTCATTTCCACGCGCAAGCTTTGCAGAGGTTGTGCGATGCAGTTGGGAGGAAGTAGCATCACAAGTGACAGGGACAGTGGTTTCTGCATCACGATAACACACAGAGCAGCCACACATCATTACACTGCAGCAATTCCTCGCTTAGAAAAACAGTCCTGTCATCACTCAACCACCCTACTCCCTGGATCTCGCTCCGAGTGACTTTTGGCTGTTCCCTACTCTGAAAATGGGCCTCAAGGCGACGTGTTTTGCAACCATGGAGGACATCAAATCGAATGTGACGGCTGAGCTCCGGAAGATTCAAGAAGACTTCCACCACTGCTTCCAACAATGGCAGGATCGATGGGGCAAGTGTGTGCGCGCGCAAGGGTCATACTTTGAAGGTGATTAGATAAGCGTTGCTGTATGTCCTACCATTAGAGTGCTATACCACCATTCCGGGAAATTTCTGACTGCCCCTCGTATAACCACTGTGCTTAGAGGGTTAATACAGCAAATAAATAACATGACAGTAACTTAAAACTATGCATCAAGAAACATTTAAAATAATTTAAACCACAGAATACCTACAATACTTAAAGAAAACTGCAAAATGTAGTATTTTTAAGCAGAAATTGATCAAGAAGAATATTAGACAGCAAACATAAAACTGGCTACTGCAGTTAACACTTTAAATTTATTTTCACGTGGCTGACGGTTTGATACTGGACTGGGACATTTGATTACTCTGAGAGGCTTCTTTTTGGTTTTCCTCAGTCCCTTCAAGTCAATGTAGGAGAGCTCCCAAGCAGACTCTGCCTGCTCCTTCTACAATTCTCTCATGTCATCCAACATAAATAATCTCTACAACTGACAGAACACTGTTAAGTAACCCACGATCCAATCACCCATCTTCCCCTTTTCAGGTCACTTACTCACATGGGTTGAGGTGACACTTTGATCTGATAATCAGATATTCATGATGGTCATTCTTAAATAGAACTTTATTTTATAAAAAACAACAAAAAATACATCATACTATTTTTCTATAAAAGTTAAAAAGATCAATTTCCCATTGTCTCTGATGGGCTTTTCTCCTAGTAAGAAATAAACTGTAACACTGAATGGACTTTACAAGTAAACACAATTATTCTTGAATTAATAGTATAGTTGTAAGATTTGAGGCTTTCACGGCGGTGACTATGAAGAAAGCAGTCTTCTGGGATTTGGCACCGTGTATATGTGGTNGTTGATGCTATGAATTACCTTTTTATCTGCAGCTTGCTTTTCACGGGAGAGGAGCAAAAGCTTCTCCTGTAACTTCTTATTTTCTTCCACTGCTTTACTAATTTTTTCTTGCAATTCTGCTACCTGAAAACATACTATGATGCAATTTATTTGCAAAATGTCACCTCAATATGCAAAAAGTGCAGAAGAACTTTAAAAAATATAGAACTGCACATAACATACTTGGGCCTTCTTACTACAGGGAGACTTCACAATGAAGAATATGCCTTACCCATCCAGATTCTTGGGTGCAAATGTCTGATGGAAACACCCCTTTGTTAAATGCTCATAGTCAGAAATTTCTGATATGTAGGGTTACAAGAGTCACTGTTAATAGATGGCTCTCACAGGATGGAAAACAGCCAACAGTTTAGGCATCATGTAAAAAAAAAATCTGCTCACTGAAATATCAACATTTAAAGGTATATTGCAAGTATTTGCCTTGTTGGTAAATTTCCAGAGATCATGGATCTGATTTTCACGCGTGGTGTGAAGTGCTAACATACAATACATGTGAAATACGCCCAACTATTGAGAACAAGAATACCAAGGGGGCACAAACATGGATGCCAAAAAAGGAAAGTAATGCAGAACAGAGAGTTTTATTCTCAGACAAACATATTTTAGTGTGAACAACAATATGCAATAGCATGGAAATATACTGACTTAGGACCTAGTGCAGTGCAATGGTTTCAAGAAGTGAACAGTTGCCTGAAGATGGTCAAGGAAGGCCAAAACATGTAGCAAATGGCATGATTTTAATGTTTTTTAAATTAAAGTGAGACCACGAACAGTTTTAAGTTGCATTAAAGATGGAGCTCACTGAGTGAGTGATACATCAATGCAACAGGATGCTAAAATATAATATTGTTAACACATGAACTCACCACTGTTTAAGTGCCAATTTAAAGCAGTGCTTTAAACAGTCATGGTTTCTTTTCTTTTTCACTTAGTGGGAGGTGGAGTCCGACTGGGTCCACTCGGCATGGTGGCCACTGACTGGCCTATTGTAGCCTGCCCCAGGTGATTATGATGATGGAGAATTTGGTAAAATGAAGATTTGGCAGGGGAAACCGAAGTACTCGGAGAAAACCCGCTCCAGCGCCACTTTGTACACCACAAATCCCACCTGACCAGACCCGGGATTGAACTTGGGCCACCATGGTGGGAAGCCAGCAACTAACCGCTTGAGCTACGGCATGGCCAACAGTCATGGTTAATAAATCAACATGAATTTCCAATGGGAAGAATGCATGGTTCTGTCAACCACAACTATAAGAAACAATGCATATTTTCGTGGATAAAATTTGTTCAAGAAAATACAAGATATTGCAATGATCAGATATGATGTTGCCGATGTAGAAATTCCTGTTATTATAAGTCATTGTTAATTAAAGGAAACACTACAGAGGCACAGACAACAGACCGAAGGAAACATTAATTCAGAAATTATTCATATGCTGGCTGGAAAAGTTATACAGTAAAGGTACCTCTGCAAGTGTTTGTTGCTCCACTCGTGCTAGCTTGTCCTCAAAATACAGTCTCTGAGAGTCCAACTGAGATGTCAGCAGGTATGTGAATTCCAGTTGTACAGAATCCATTTTCTCATCATCACACTAAAATGTGCCAGAAAAAAAAAGACCTTAAAAATAATAAAAAGAGCATTAATCATAACATTACATAATCCACAACCTTAACTTTCCACCTGCTTTCACTATACCTAAAAGACTAAATGTTAGGAGATAATGAACACATAACTGATGCTTTTAAATGTTGTTTCCTTTGTGAAATCACATTGGATCATCGAGGTAAAAACGGATAAGAAATGAAACGCATTCGTCCAACTCTAACGTTTACTGGAGACTGAATGAACATTACAAGATACCAAAGGTACACACAGAAAGAAAGTAGCAGTGGGTGTGTACCAACTTATGAACAATAAATATCACCAGATAAATATGGCCAACACTAGAACTATAGTATTACAACACCTCCCCTTGTTGGACATATTTTACAGTCAAAATCTATAATTACAATAACCAAAAGTAAAACAAGTTTACAATTCCACACCGAATTTCAAACCTATCTTTAAAGACAGCTCATTTATCTTTGGACCATTAGTAGCTTTAGTCAGCATATCAGCACAATTAGTGCTTGAATCTACATACTGGATACTAATATCTCCATCATTAACATATTCTCTAATCTTATGTTGCCGCATTCTAAAATGCTTGTTGCGTTCAGTAATCTTATTCTTTGTGCACATATCATTTGCCTGTAAATTGTCTCCAAAGATTATACTAGGAGTAGATACTGCTACATTAATTTCTGACAGAAACTCTCTCATCCAAATAACTTCCTTGCTACACTCATATAATGCTATATACTCAGCTTCGTTGGTAGATGTGGCTACAATGTCTTGTTTCTTGGACTTCCAAGACACAGCTCCCTTTGACATCATGATAACATAACCCGCCACGGATTTACTGTCATGTACATCGTTAGCAAAATCAGAATCAGAATAAATTACTGGGTCAATTTCAGATTTTTCATAGGTCAGCCGGTATTTAATTGTATGTTTCAAGTATCTCATAATTCTCATCACCTCCAGCCATCTCCCTTTGGTCGGACAATGGCAAAACTTGCTGACTTGATTTGTTGAAAAAACAATATCTGGTCTAGTACAAGTGGCAATGTACTGCAACCTACCTACTGCTGCCTTGTACTGAATCTCATCAAAGGGCTTGTCACCATCGAGAAAATTGTTATAGTTTGGGTCCCTTGGAGTTACACATCCTTTACAATCAAGCATACCAAAAGTTTTCAGTGTTTCATTCACATAATTTTCTTGATGTATTTTAATTACATATCCATTGGGTCTATCCACATTAATACCTAAAAAATTTGACACAGGTCCCAAATCTTTAACGTTTAACCTTTGAGAAAGTTGTCTTTTGCAGTCATTCACATCCTTTCTAGTTCCACAAATAATCATATCATCGACATAAATAGCCACAATAATCCTGTCATTAAAGAAAACACATGGATCTTTAGTACACTGTTTCAATCCGAAACTGACAAAGATGAAAGTAATAGTATCATTCCAGTCCTTCCCAGATTGATGTAATCCATATATGCTTTTCAAAAGTAAACATACATCATCAGCATTACCCTCTTCAAACAGTTCGGGTTGGCGCATGTATACAATTTCTTTCAGAGTACTATTTAAATATGCACCTACAACGTCGACATGATCAACCTCCCATCCTCTATCAACAGACAAAGCCATTAGGATCCTAAAGGACGCTCGTCGCATTACTGGGCTATAGCTATCCCAGAAATCTATACCATAAACTTGATGGAAACCTTGGGCTACTAACCTGGCTTTATACTTAAAAGTGCCATCATCTTTCTTTCTCAGGCTAAATACCCACCGGGAACCTATAACATTAACATTCTTTGGTTTTCTCACAACTTCCCAAGTTTGATTTTTCTTCAAGTTCTCTATCTCTAATTTCATTGCTCCAATCCAGTGATCTCTATCAATTCTACTAAGCGCCTCCCCTACAGATTTAGGTTCTGCCAATGTAATTTCACCACAATCTACTTTAGCACAACATTCACATACAACTTTCTGCTTAATAGTTCTCGTGGTTCTACGGGGTTGTACATTTTCTTGGGGTACATTTTCCAAATTATCCACATTTATGTCATTACCTACTATACTAGGTTTATCATCATTCTCATCTACACTGGGATGTGACCCACCCACATTGTCTTCTGTATCAGTACAGTCTGAATCATATACATAAATGGGTGTTTCACTCTTAGTCTGAATCACAGTCTTTCGAATAATAGTCTTATAAGGAAAAACACTTTCTTCAAACCTAGCATCTCTGGATATGCGAATCTTCTTCTCATTTACACTATAGAGTCTATACCCTTTAGCGTCCCTAGCACTACCAAGGTAAATACATTCAACTGCTCTGCTGTCAAGTTTATCCTTGACATTTAAATTCAGATCCCAAGCCCTGCAGCCAAAAACTTTCATTTCTCTGGCCATATCTATAGTAAATGCCTTCTTAGACCAGACTTCAATGGGAATTCTTCCTTGGATTGCTTTAGATGGGCAACAATTTCTAATATTACTTGCGGTGAGTACCGCCTCTCCCCAGAAAGACTTCGGCAATCCTGCATTCTCTAATATGCAACGAACAATGCATAGCAAAGTTCTATTCAACCTCTCAGAGCGTCCATTTTGTTGTGGGGTTCTAGCTACACTTAACCTTCTGCCTATTCCTTTCTGATCCAAGTATTCATTAAATGCTGCACTGCAATATTCTCCCCCATTGTCTGATTGTAAAAATTTAATTCGTCTCTCTTGTAACACTTCAACTTTCTCTACATATCTTTGAAAGGCTGGTAATACATCACACTTGTTTGTTAAAACTTCAACAGTTGAGAATCTTGAGTTATCGTCTAAAAAGGTTACAAAATACTGTTTCCCACCCAAGCTTTGTGGTGTAATTTTACCACATACATCTGAATGTATCACCTCCAAAACATTCTCTGCACTTTTGGAGTTCTTACAAAATTTCTTTCTGTGTAACTTTCCTGTGATGCATACATCACAATTTAATTGACACTCATCTACACCACAAAACTTTGGTAGGGTTTTCATATGTCCAAATCTCTGATGCCATATGGCTTCACACTTCAGGGCCTTGGCCTTCATAAGATTCATTCTCTTTTCTATTTCCATCTTACTACTTATACTACACATCAAACTCTTGCCTGACACTGTATAATATTCACACTGAAGATGGTATAATTGATCTCCCTTTCCCCTGGCTACAAAAATGACAACTCCATCCTTTGAGACTGTTATTATCCCATTCTTTATATGTGCTTCACAACCCAACCTATCTAATTGTCTCATTGACAACAAGTTACAATCCAAACCAGGTACATATGAACAATTATTTAATCTTAACTTCTTGCCTCCATATTCATTTGTTACCTTTAAGGCTACACTCCCTTTACCCAGCAAAGGAGTACTCGTCTTCCTTTTCGCCAACATGACGTTTCCTCTTACACCCTCATTTAAGTTGTCGAATATATCCTTGTAGGGCGTCATGTGGTGGGATGCTCCTGAATCAAGAATCCACAGATCCCTGAACTCCTCGGACCTACTTCCCGCATGGGCTGTCATGACAAATTCCTCTGTTGTTTCAATGTGTTCCTCCGCTACTACAGCTATTTCTTCTTCTTCTTCATTCTCCTTTTGAACTTCTGCTATTTTGGCGGTTCCCCCATTATTCTTTAGGACATTAAACTTTGGACACAATTTAGCAATATGTCCAGCTTGATTGCATGCAAAACAAATTACATTCTTCTTTACATTTTGGTCACAATTGATCCCTTTACTTTGGTTTTTGAATTTTCCATCACGTTTTGGGTAATAATTATTATTCTTCTGGTACCTAGATTCTCTTCTAAGTAAAAAGGCTTTTTCTTCTTCGTTGTTCTCAAAATCTCTGTGAATTTTATCTTGTTTTTCTGTCAGGTATAATTTGCTAATTACCTCTTCTAAGGATGTTTTGTCCTCTTTACTTGAAAAGGATAACATGAGATTTTCATATTGTTTGGGTAACCCGCTGAAAATAAAACCAATATGTGCTCCTTCACTAAACGGTACATTAGCATTCTTCAACTTCAAAATTAAATTTTGTTTCCTCGTTAGGTACTCATTCATGCTTATTTCGTCAGTCTTTTTGGTCAAAGCTAATTCTTCAATCATCAAGGCAATATGGACCCATGTGTACTCACAGTTTCGCCTTTTCAGCTTCTGCCAAACTTCTGCAGCTGTAGTCAGATGTGCTATCGACGGTACATATTTATCTTCTATATTCTCGGTAATAAAGTTAAGTGCTTCAAGATTTGTTTGAATCTGACCTGGTGTCCAATCCTCTTCTACTCCATCATATCCGGGCTCCACGGCTTCCCATTGCTTCCTCTTTCTTAGGGTTAGCGTTACGCGATGTTTCCAGATTGTGTAGTTATCGTCATTTAAAGGTTCTATGCGTCTTCGGTAAACTTCTTCTGACATCTTGAAATATTATATCGTCTTATTTACTTCCTTTCTTCAAAATTCCATGCAGCACGTGTGACCGAGAAATGGCCGTCTTTGCCGTTTAGGTCCGTACCTTCACTTATCCTATTGTCTTCACTCGTCTTCTGAGTCTCCAATCCGTTTTATCGATGTCCAGCGCAGTGCTTGAAGACTCTGGGCCCATAACCTGTTGTTTCCTTTGTGAAATCACATTGGATCATCGAGGTAAAAACGGATAAGAAATGAAACGCATTCGTCCAACTCTAACGTTTACTGGAGACTGAATGAACATTACAAGATACCAAAGGTACACACAGAAAGAAAGTAGCAGTGGGTGTGTACCAACTTATGAACAATAAATATCACCAGATAAATATGGCCAACACTAGAACTATAGTATTACAACATTAAACTTATCCCATAACAAATGGATTAATCAAAATTCACAACTTCCAGTTTCTAAATACAAACAATGTATGAGGACTTCATCTGTTTATTTAGTCATAAGAAAGTCTGAATGAGCAGATTTTGATGAAAATTAGTAAACTGTATCAACCAAACTGGACAACATGGACTGTCACTTTACATCAAGACCTAAATTACATTCTTCAACATTCATTACATACTGTGCTGACTGAAATAGGCCTCGGACAAAAAGATGTGGCCCCAAATGATATGGATATTTGTATTTGTATTTTTTTCATCTGTTGTTTTTTTAGATGATGGTCATTAAATTTCAAAGGGGACTTCAAGCAAAAAAATGAATGACATACAAACACTTAAAAAGTGGCTATTTGTTATACCTTGTGAACTCTGACAACCTTTTTTGTGACTGCTGTATATTACAAATAAGTAGTTTACAAAATGTAAACACAAAAAGTAGAAAATAGGCTTAATAATCTGGCACCAAGATACACAGAATACACTGTCTCTTTACAGAAAAAATCAAAGAATCCAAATTGAGATGAATTGTAGACCCAACAATAGTCATATGAAGGATGCATACAGGCAGATGGTTCCTTTGAACTTCCTTCAAGTTAAAATGTTGCGGCTTTTGTTTGGTGTGAAGCTACATTTAGAGGAAGAGATAATGGAAGCAGATGAGCAGAGTTACTTTACTTCAGTGGTTCTTGACCTTTCCTGACTGTGACACTATTTCTGAATTTGTTACAAATGTTGCCCACGGGGGGGACTGACACAAATGAAATAGCTAATGCAGATATGTCCCAACAGTCACAACAGTAATTATAAAACAGAAGAAAATTACAGAAGCATTGTGACTTGATGACATAAAATGAAAATTAATACTCTTATTTGTTCACAAAAAGGGGAAGGTTGTGCTATATTTGCTTCTACCAATTTCTTAATCCGTGACAATGTGGTAGCAAGTGTGTACCAAAGACCATTTTCAGCAGTGAGCTTATTTCTGTGTTTAATTTTTATTTGAAGCAAACAAAAACCTAATTCACACTCATACATAGTGTAACATGGATGGCGCAACAGGAAGTAGGGGTCACGTGAACTCTGCGTTTCCGCGAGTGATGTCACATACATGCAATGCTTGGTAAACACCCCTCACCACTAGGCTGTGACATCATGCAACAGGGGAGGCCGTGCAGTGACCGTTGCTAGGCAATCGGTAAACACGACGTCACACAACAGTGGTAGTTATCATGTAGCTGTTTTCTGTGTGGTCAGTGCGGAAGTTACATAGCAAGGAGTATTCTTCAGTGATGAGCCAGTTACTAGTATTGAGTATTGTAACATCAGAAACTACCGCCATGTCCCTCAACTACATCCCCCTTCATTCCTTTTCCCCCTCTCCACCTGCCCTATGCTTGCGCCCTTCATCCTTTCACCAGAGACTAGGAGGCTCGTCTGAACACGGCAAGGGGATTCTGCTGCATGCCGTGGAAGAGTCTGGTGCTTGTCTTGTGCCCAAATTATTTCTTGAACTTTTTGGTTTGCTAAATTAACGGCTGAGTTGGTGGACGCTTTTATGTTGTGCCGTCCTCATCTGGGAGAGTTTGTATTTCTATTTCACTCAACCAATTATATTATTATATTATTATATTTGTTTGGTGTGTGTATTGTTTAAAATATTTTCCTACCCCAAACCACTTTTCGGTCCTGGGCATTGGTACGTTTCAGTGAGTATGAGTTATGAGTATTAGAGTGTTCGTCGAAGACAGTGGAAGTTGCGAGATTAAAGCTTTGGTTAAGGCAGTATTTGTGAAATTGTGAATTGTTTAAGTGTAAGAGCAAGTGTTCAATAAATTTGCTAGGATCCAAAACGGCATGAAGGTTACTAGGTTAACTAGTCCAATAGGGGCCATAAAAGCAGCAGACCACAATAAATCTGGAATAATGGAATCAATGAGGGAGCAAGGCCTGTCTGAAGAAGAGGCCTAAAATCCTGAAATGGAAAGCAGGCAAATGAACCCCTTAAAAGGAAAAGCCCTTGGAAGATAAGAATAAGAATGCAGTTAGAAAGGGAAATAAGGTTTTCAAGTCTCTGACATACAGTGCTACCACTACAACTAAACAACTTTAAAATGTCAGCGATACTGAAGAGACTTAACCCTTCAACACCATAGTCCATACATGGCAAGCCAGTGGTTTGTCACATGTCACCACAGTCCATACTTGGCACGCACTGTGGAGTGCTAAGTTTCAGCTCATTTTTTGAACTGTTGTTTTCCACGTAAAGTAATTCTTCTGGTATGAAATTAAAGAGGAAATTGCAGGAAATCATTTCATACATTTGTTGTCCCACTTTGAACTTCCTACAGTATTTATTATTTGTATTACATGTGAATCCTCACTTTGGGGAATTCTTATGAGCTACATATGTTAGATTGACAGGGTGTGCTGTCCCTGCATGTTGATTGAATCAAAAGTCGATTCTCTTTGAGGAGAATCTGACAAGTGCTGTTTCTAGATTGGAATTTGTAACCATGAAAAACTGAGAAACCACGTGTAGAACCTAAGACTAGTAGGACACGTGATGTTGACCTTAAAAGAAGTGTGTCATGACTGCTATGTAGGACACGGCAGTCATTTAAGAACCCTTGACGACCTGGCTGGGGAAATTTTTCTAAATGCCACAATCAGAAAGGGTTAAATTTCAAATAACTGTCAGGCATTATGTGGCACTTCTGACTGCATTACATTTTACCTGCTGTTTTCCTGGAGGGCTACCTTCCACAAGCTTGCCATCTCCTTTGTTCTGAAGTAAGCGGTGAACAAAGTTATCTCCCACGTAGTCCCAAACACGATTATTCCCCAGCTGCATTGAGTAACAATGTTGTGTCTCATGGTAATGCCTGCCAGAAAATTATACAAATTGCTATTAAACCCAACTCTATATATTGTTGTGTTATTAAGATACTGTGACATGTAGAGCAGTTGCTAGGCAGCAACCGCAAGATGGGTGACTGTACAGTGGCTCTTGCTAGACAGTGGCCCACAAACAACAGAGGAATGGTGTTTTCTGGACGGTCTGCTAAGCAACAATTGAGAGCAACAGAGGAACAGTGATTTCTGTGCGGTCAGTGCCGAGACGTTATAAGCAGGGCAATTAGTGAGAGTTAAGTACTGGAGAGGAGTGAGTTGTTTGGTGAGTTAGAGGGCTGCTACTGTTCAGTCCTTGTGAACTACTGTTGTCAGAAGCTGGTAGGTGAGGCAGGGGAATAGTTCAGGAACCCAGAGGAAGGGGAATGTCTGCACTGCAAGCCGTTACCAGAAGACTGCTAAAGACACGACAAGTTGAGAATAATTAAGTCTGTGCTGTAGTGAATTGCAGAGTGTGAATTAGCAATAACGCTACAGTTACGTGTTGTTCTGAGTTGTGTGTATAAGTATTCAATAAATCCAATTATCAATCTATACCCTGTCTATTGTTACACTCATACACATGAAAATACTATAAAATATTAGATCCTTGTGATGGGAAGGCAGTTTTTTGCTCCAGTGGCTTTCTAGCACACATAAGAGTGACTTGATGTGGCCACCATCCTAAATCTTAAAACCTGTTATTCACTTACTTCATCACAGATATCAGCAGTTAACAGATCTAATGAAAGCTGATATGTAATGCACCATCACAAGGAACAGTTTTAACAGCAAGTTAAAATGATCCATAATTTTGCCTGAGGTTCGGTATGGGTGTGAAACTTGGTCTCTAACATTAAGGGAGGAATATAGACTGAGGGTGTTTGACAACAGGGTGCTGAGGAGAACATTTGGATCAAAGAGAAATGAAGAAACAGGAGGTTGGAGAAACTATATTACGAGGAGCTTCATAACTTGTACTTTTCGCCAAGTATAATTAGAATGGTCAAGCCAAGGAGGATAAGATGGGCAGGACATATAGCACAAATGGGGCTGATGAGGAATGCATAAAGGAAAGCCAGAAGGAAAGAGGCCACTAGGAAGACAAAGTTGTAGGTGAGTGAACAATATTAAAATGGATCTTAGAGAGAGAGGATGGGATGGTATGGACTGGATCAATCTGGCTCAGGATAGTGTCATGGTAATGAACCTTTGGGTTCCATAAAATGCTGGCAACTTCTTGAGTAGCTGCATAATTTGCAGCTTCTCAAGAAGGGCTCAGCTCTATGAGTGGGCAAGTGAGTGAGTTAAAATGAAACAACAAAATATAAATTTCAAGGAAATGAAAACAGTTTCAACCTGCTGTGCCATATGATAGTAAGGAGAGCGATACAAGAACATATTATTGTATATCATCATTGCTATTTGCATATATTGACTCATTCTCACTAGATCAATTTTCTGAATCAATGCTGCAAGGGGAGACCGTATGGCTGAATGACTGAATAACCAATGATGATGATTTCTATGTGCCAAAATATGAATTATCCATTTTCTTGTGTGGTTTATTACATTATGCTCTTAACCATTCAGCGTGGTTTGACGTGTATGTTTCGTCAAGGTATTTAAATCGTCTGCGGGGGTTCGACGTCTATGTTTCGTCCAGCTGCACACCTATATTATAACGCCCATAATAATTGATGGTTTTGCTGTAGATTGTTAGATTTTTCGCTGGCCTGTTGTCAGGAGAACCGTATCTAATGAGGCATTTGTTTAGCTGCGCTAAGTCATCGTTACATATGCCTGTCTTGCAGCAAAATCGTGTTGTTTCTGGTAGTGGTTTCCTCCTTCAAACTGTTATGAATGGCATGTTTTCTTTCCTATGAAGTTATAAACAGCAGAGACGTGATATGTACTGTGTTTATAATATCATATTGCCCTGAGCTGGCCACACTAACACACTCAATTGGAATTCTTAGAAGAGGGATGTCCAAATTTTATTCTTGCAAGATCGATTGATTTCGCACAGTACATGGCAGCCAGTTCTTAGAAAAACGCCACAAATTAAGGCAGAACACTGTGGTCACCCCCTGTGACGATACGGGTGTGTGTGGGGGAGGGAAAAGAACTCATTCCTTCATGTATTATCGCTCCAGTTGACTCCATTTTATCGTACTGACCTTGGTGGTCGTTTCGAGGGATGACCATAAATATTTTTTTGAGCCAGCTAAGCTCTGCTTTCATTCACTACATACCAGCCAGTTCTTAGAATAACTTCATGAATTCTGTGGTCNGCTTCAATGTGTACCACACTCCGCTCAAATTCTGACCCACCTGCTTCCTTTGCCAAGATACCAGGCGCTCATATTATAAGGCAAGGTTATAAAACCATCTTTTAAGATCATTTTAGTGAAAGTTTCATGCTTCAAGGCGTACGATACACTGCTCAAATTCTAAACCAACTGCTTCCATTGCCGAGATACCGGGCGCTCATATTATAAGGCAAGGTTATAAAACCACCTTTTAAGATAATTTTAGTGAAAGTTTCATGTTCCTATCTCATATAATTTAAGAACAATGATGAATAAATCATTTTCGAGCAAAATTTAAATGGACGGCTGAATATATTACCGCCGGAGAGACACGGCAGCGGAATTTAAATGACCGCGTAAAAGGGTTAGAGATTAGCCTATATAACACTGAATGGTAGTGCAAGAGATGAATTGGAAAGAATTTTGATGGAAGCTGTTACAGCTAACTGAAGTACCATCCCAGCATTTGCCTAAACAGACTGAGGAAAACCACCAAAAACTTGGCCATAATAGCCAGTGTCCTGGCCAACCTTTGAACTTAGCACCTCTTGAATACAAGTCTAGCACATTACCTTTGCTACTCTTGCCAACAATCAATACCAAGCATTTAGCAAGTCCCTTTACTGACTGAGAATCCAGGCTACATCGGGGAGTACGCTATAGCAATATTTATATAAAATGTAAGCATGAAAATCATAAAGAATATTCTATACATTTGCCACACTTTATTATCACACTAGCAAAACCTTAACTATATGGATACCAATACCTACAGATTATTATAAACTGGAGTACTTACTGATATGCATGGCCATGTACGTAACGACCGCAGCCAACATGTCCACATATGAGACAAATCCACAGTGATTCAGCAGAATGACATTCAAAACAGCGGTTATCCGCAACCAGCTCTGGGGTTTGGACATAACGGCATACAGGACAACTAAAACAGATATCATCATCAATGAAAAATGAAGTACACAGTATCCATGAGGACATTTCTGGATTTTAGGAGGGTACATATTCTTAACCTTTATGCTGCTGAGCCCAAGATACAAAGGGCATGGATCAACATGACATCTTTGCTGTGTCCGAGTTCTTATGGGTGTGATCTTTATAAACACGTATCATTAAAACTAACTTTCTGAATGCATTCAAACTTTCCACGCATATGCTTCCGTCTACTGCGAACATAATGAATTATAAGGCAGACCTTTTGCTATGTTTGTAAACCACCTCTAAAGGAATTTAGAAACTACTTCATCTAGCAGCAGGACCATCCTACTCCACATCACCTGACCACGGCCACCTGAGGGCTAGTAAATACATCTAGCTCAACCAAAACAACCTTCATCACGTATGATAAGATTTTGTATGCATGTGCTATTCACATTTCTGCTTGATTACTCTTCATTTTCATAAACGAGCATTAAAAAATTAATTCAGCACAGGGGGTTACACTAGGCTTTATTTACTCAGTTGTGAAAGGGTTAACCATTATGCATATTGATAAAGTTGAAAACACTGAAATTAAAATTAACTGAAAAAGTTTGTACCAGATGCAAAGATATGTGTTCCTGTATGTAAATCGATATGTGATGTGGAATACTTCATAGTGAAGTTACAGAACCTTTCTCTTTGTCAAGGCAACAGTCTTGATTTGCTAGTGAACTTTAATCTTCTGCATTGGAGAAAAATGATGATGAAAGTTTCCAGCAAGAGCTTTGTAAATATAATTATACCTAACATACAAAGAAGTTACAGATAATTTTCCATGATCTCATTTATAAGCAATTATCTCACAGCTGTCTTTTTTTAAACGAAACCCCCATGTCAGAACACTTGCAAGTATTTAAGAAAATCGTTTTTGTTTTTTTTTGACAGCAATATGACGATGCAATTTGTATCACAAGCTGCCCATATATGAGATATGAACCAGAAGATCTGAAACTTTGCCATGACACAAATGAATGAGGAATGTAGTGGAGACAATGTTTCCCAGTATTTCATGGAACCCGAAGGTTCATCACCGTGTTCACAAGAGCCCTCCACTGGTCCCTATCCTGAGTCAGATCAATCCAATCCATATCATCCCATTGTATCTCTCTAAGATCCATTTTAACGTTGTCCACCCACCTACGCTTTGGTCTTCCCAGTGGTCTCTTTCCTTCTGGCTTTCCCACCAATGTCCTATACGCAATCCTGGTCTCCCGCATTTGCGCTACATGCCCTGCCCACCTCATCCTCCTTTTCTTGATCATTCTAATTATATTTGGAGAAGAGTACAAGTTATGAAGCTCCTCATTGTGCAGTTTTCGCCAACCTACAACAATGTACTATTAAGAAATTGATAACTACAATGTTTTTGTTACTATAATTAAGTCCTCATTATATGCCACACTGCAGTTTCACTGTAATTTGAAAAATTATCATTTGAGTGTGCCATGCGAAATGTGTCATGCAATGTATATGTGCACGATGCAATGAATTACACTTTCATTCTCACAGTCATCATCATGGTTGAAATGTGGATCACTGTATTCAGTATGGAGGCCAAGCATTACTTTGTCCAGTAACATGCTGCATCAGTGGGGGGAGGGTGATCACATACTTCCCTCTGGATGCTTCTCTGCTTGCCACCACCCCAAATTGTTTCTAGACTGTTCTTGAAAATGAAGCCTGTGTTGCCAGCCTGAATTTTCCAGAATGACTACACTGTGTGGAATCAGTAGGTTAAGTCAGCCTGAGAGATAACTCTGAACTTAGAAGTGGCATGAAACAATGCAATGAAAATCAAGGAGAGTCTTGTGCTGGCAGCGACAAGACAGGTGCAAGAAAACGGTGGTGGTGTTCAGTGAAGCAGCAGTAAACTATACATAAAAGAACTGATGTCAAGTTCATAAGTGTTTATTGAAAATAACTGCTCCCAAATACAATGAATATTACAGGAAGAACACTGATTCACCGCTACTGAAGAAGTTCCATGTTGAGTCAAACATACAGAAAATGATGCAACTTCTTGGGGTGCTGATGTTACCATCCTTGCATACTAAATTTCTAGCTTTACTGCAGACATTTGTTGTAGTTTTGTGGCTGGAATGCTCAGTTCCCTTGAATCTTGTTTATTTACACTATGCCAAAGCGGCCTCCGTAATCTAGAGGTAACGTTCCCACCTCATAACTCGTGGTATGCAGGTTCAAACCCAGCGGAGGTCGTGGAATTTTTAAGGGCGGAAAAATTCAGGGAACAAGTCCTCCGGGAGGGACTTTAAGCCGTGGGTCCCGTGTCGTAGCTTTACGGCACGTAAAAGAACCTCATCTCTCCAAAGGAGGTCACTGAGCTAAATTCAAGGACATTTCCCGCCCAACAGTAGTCTCTAACGCCTCTGATAGATGGGGGAAGCATTATAGATACTGCCAAGCCAGTAGAGGCCGAACTCGCTGGCTCGGTCGGGAATGGTGGCACGCACCAATATCGGTAGGGTATAGAGACTGGTAGAATATCATAGAGGGAAGCACAATAGACCAATACTGGTCTCAGTGCATGGGGAAACCCACCCTCTCCAATAACTAACTAACTAACTAACTAACTACACTATGCCAATGCCACCACCCCACATGCTTAAAAAATGGAGGAATTTGTCCGGAAAACAACATCAAACTTACCTCGGACCCTCCATATTTACCACCCTGGCTTGCACTGCTGACTTCCAGTTGTTTTTAACAATAACAACTCCCCCATAGCAGGATATTTCAAGCCAATCAGCAGTTTCTACTGCCATTTACTAGTAGGTTAAACACTCCCCTAAAAATACTTCCTGTTCAATAAATTAGGAAGTGTTATTCAAATACATATTATTAAATTGTTACCTTGTATCTCCCCATTTTGCTAGACAGCTGCTGTGAAATGAGTGATTACACAGGATAGTCAAAATTCCATCCACAGATTCATCCATGCGTTCCAAACACACAGGACATGTAGGAAGTTCTGTATGAGCCAGAGGGGCAACTGATCCTCCTTCTCCTTCACGAAGAAGTTCCACACGTGACACAAATACTAGATGGCAACAGCAATCTGGTTCGAGTGAATTATAAGGAACACCGTTGAAGGAGGAATAGAATTCAGATGCTGATTGCTACAAAAAAATAGTAAGCATAATAGAATACGAAAATATTCTGCAAAGATTAGACAAAAAGTCTCAATCCCAACAAAACACACAGACTGAATTCAAGAACATTTTTTATTCCAGGGTGACCCTCTGTTGGGTTGATTCATGACTGTACATATCCTGATATAATTCATGTGGGTGTGGAAAAGTGAATCAAAAATTTGTTTCATTACATCCTATGTTTTGTACAGACATCTCAGATACTGTTAACTGGCCTGTAGGGAAGTATCCAACCTTCTATTCATCCAATGTTTACAGCATGTGGGGCAAGTATGGATGGTTTGCCAGGAAGATCAAACATATATATGATGCAACACTGTACAGAAATATAAATGAAAAATATGCTGGCGTCAATATGGTACAACAGTATGCTGCTTAAAAGTCTGGATAAACTACAAACACTGAAGAGCCAGTAAATGACTATTTTTTCCATGTGATTATGTTATACAAATTAATGACAGACAAACTGCAGAAAAATGATAAAATTCTACAATTCCACTACTTTAATTTTTATAACACTTAATATGCATACAGCAACTTTATCTCAAATCTGTCAGGGCTTGTATAACAATTCTGTAAAATTTATATAGTATTTAGAAGAACTATCTAGTTTTAACTTCTTCAGAAATATGGCCTCATCTGTGCAACCAACACTGGGTCATATTTATATGGACTGCCTTAGTATCCTAATAAAATTTTGTCATATCAAGCTACTGTTACTGATTGCAAACTGAAACAAAGACATATTAGTGACCTTCAAATGTAGTTATATTTTACGGAGATTTCAATCATACTGGGAATACAGAATTAAAGAGAATTACAGAATTGTAGTAGCCATGAAAATTTAATAACATACAGAAAGATATTTAGTTCATTTAAGATTAAGTGTTTAGACTCTATGTCCAATGAATGTTCTCAGAAATGAAAAACTTGTTTTCCATGACTTTCAATAACCAACTCCATGAAGCAAAGTCCTTCTTCAGGGAGTAATAGATAGTCACATAGCTCGGAAAGAACATTTTTGCCTTATATGGCACCAAAAGGTTCATTAAGGGCCCCACAGATGGTCAATCTTAGCGTTCATTTTGCCTGCGCAGTTCTCAGACGTAAGACGAAATGCTGAAGAGGGCACAAACATTCCATTTTGTTCTAAATCTTGCACTCAGTTTTCATGGATCGTGCACGGAGCAACATGTTGGAGGAACTTTCAATTTACACAGCTCTAGCGTTAGCTTTGAGATCAAAAACTAAAAAGAAAAGGACTACGTCAAAATGGGCAAAGGCTTGGTTACTTAAAATAATCTCTCGCATATAAATTTACTGAAAGACTTAACTCTAGAATCGGGTGATTGGTACAATTATTTAAGAGTGGACAATGGGATTTATTTACACCTTCTTCATTTGGTAGCGCCACATATCAGAAAGAACGATAGTGCAATGCAATCCAAGTTGCTGACACTCTGTCTGGGAAGTTCTTGATCCGTTAAAAGAAAGGTCATCGTAGTACCATAAACTTGGCACAAAATTACCATCTGTTCCATTGCCAGACTTCTGAGAATCCTTGACTTTCTTGAGTTCTTTCCGAAAACAACTTTGTAATGAATTAATTTGTTATCACTGCTTCTTGTTGCTTCGGGATCAATTTCCGATAACTTAACTCTTAACTGTTCATAAGCAAGATTTTTTTTTGTTTTTATCAGAGTAGATCTTCCACAAACACAGATTACTACGATACATCTGAATGAATTCGCTCAAAAATGCTCAGGGTACGATTCTTAAGTCTGACATATCGAAGTGCACAGTTGGAACGATTAGTTAAAACTGACGCTAAAACTGTAGGCCTCACACATGCTCCAACTTGCTCGCAGACATGCCTGTACACGCACAGAAAAATCAGTCACTGACAGATTTACTTCAAGCCAAGCCTAAGATGGTACAGGGACGAAAATTCTACCACAGATGGACCATCTTACCTGACGCCTTAAAACTGTGCAGAGGCCCTTTACTGTGTTCAAAAGAGCCCATCACTGGGTCCTACCATGGGCCAAATTAAACCAGTCTTTGTGGACTGGTATAATTTTGACTGGACCCCCATACTGTTTCTTTTAAGATCTATTTTAATACCATCTGACCATCTACATCTAGACTTCCAAATGTTTTATTTTCTTTTGGTTTTCTATCCAAAATTCTGTATGCATTCCTCATTTTTTCCATGGATACTGAATTCTCCACCCACTTTATTCTACATGATTTGATCATCTTAATAAATATCAAGTACAAATTGTAAATTGTTCTGCAGTTTTCTCTAGCCTCCTGTCACTTCCCACCTCTTAGGTCCAAATGTTCTCAACATTTTGTTCTCATATACCCTTAGTCTATGTTCTTCCTATAATGTGAGTAATGACATTTCACACCTGTACAAAAGATCATGTAAAACTGTACCTATGTATATTGTAAGCTTTATACTTTCAGATATCATATAGCAAGGAAAATGTCTGGTACTGAGTGGAAGATGGAAGAAAGTATTTGGCAAATTTAACAATTTCCTAATTTACACATCAATAAAATTTTGATTTCTGTCATTCCTAAATATCTGAACTTTGCCACATCTTAGGATTTTCCAGCCATCTTCATATTACAATTTTATCCTGCCATCTGGTGATACATCAACATATATTTAACTCATTCTGGACAAAATTCCTTACTAGCACCTAACACAGCACACATACATTTCTTTGTGGTATTCATGTTTTTTGCCCACAAATTAACATCACGAGCATAGACCTGAAGTTGACATGTCCCGTTCAGTTGCAATTCCACATGGCTAATGGTCCGAGAATATGTTATCAAAGTGATATCTCTGATTGGCCAAAATGGTATACAAGCATTTTTTCAAAATTACTGAGCCATCAGAATTCCCCCCCCCCCAAAAAAAAAATTGCCTATGGGTTCCCAGACGTTTTTAGACCACATGCTGCCCAGATTTTCTGGCACCTGAATATTAAACAAAATATTATAAGAATAATATAATGAGAGCAAAATGTAGTCAACAGTTACACACCCATGACTTTTGCCATGAAAAGCAAATGTTTATATGTGCATAAAGAAGAGACCTTGAAGATGGAGGCCGACAACTTGAAAATTTTTCAGAGACCATGAGTTTGGCAAACTCTGGCCTGGAGCATCAAGAACCTAAGTGATGGCTGGACATGCCCTACTCGTTAATCCCTTGTGAACTTTAAGTGACATACTTCATGACTCTGGAATCCTACTTAAAAGCCCAAAAGGGTAAAACTAATTGGAAAATGTTAATGCACATTCATGAGACAGTTTTCTGGCCTCTCACTGTGTCCAGTAATTTGGTAGCTAGCGTACGATGGGGTACCCAAAAGAAACCGAACTAATTTCTTTGTGGGCAGAGCTTTTGTAGTACCGCGTTTTGCTGCTATGAGCGCATAGAGCTAACATTCCTGAGTCGATAAGCCGACTACCGTTGCTTCAGAAGGTAAGGACTAGTTTCGGCAGAGTTTATAGTGACAATTGTTTTGTGTGATCATCGTTTTTGCATTGGCTGATTTTCATGAACAGCGTGCGGTGGTGAAATTCTGCTTTTTGCTCGGAAAAAGTGGAACAGAATCTCTTGAAATGTTAAAAACGGCGTACAAGGACGATGCTATGGGGAAAACTCAAGTGTCTGAGTGGTTTTCCAGTTTCAAAAATGGTGAAATGTCAATTGATGACAAACCTCGTTCTGGTCGTCCTTCCACGGCCCGAACACATGAAAATGTTGAAAAAATTCGTGAAATCATCAAGGAAGATCGACGACGGACCATTAAAGAAATTGTGGAGCTGTCGGGAGTGACTTGGAGCTCAGTTCTGCGAATTTTGACAGAAGATTTGGGAATGAAAAGGGTGGCTGCAAAATTTGTGCCATGACTCCTGACTGCTGAACAAAAACAAGGTTGTGTGGAAGCATGCTGTGCTTTGAAAGAAGAGTCCCGAAATGATCAAAACTTTTTTTTGTTTCCTCGAATGAAAAGAGACATGAAAGGAAAGCATTTTGCTGATGTTGCTGAGGTGAAGGAAAAAATGACGGAGGCGCTGTCAACCATCTCAAAAGATGAATTTAGACAATGTTTTGAAAAATGGAATAAAAGACTAGACAAGTGTATTAGTGTAAGTGGAGAGTACTTTGAAGGGGACTGAAGGTTTGTGCTTAAAATTTGAATAAATAAGTTAAAAAAAAATAAGTTCGGTTTCTTTTGGGTACCCCTTCGTACAACTAATTTAGGTATTTGTGCTGCTCCCTGAAAAAATTTCAAAAACATGAATTATAAAGCAGAACAGTATGAGTTAAAGTCTGTAAACATTTACAGCATACCTGACTTCGGAATGTCAACAAAGCCATGTAACGGTTTGGAGATCCATCTCTGATGATACGAAGGTGCTGAATATCTCCGTGGCATGCAGCAGTGAACGTAAGAAGATCGTGACAAGTCATAGTTGCTGGAACTGCTAAGATACACACTGTCTGGCTTCTCTGGGCTGCTCTGTCCATTGGTGTTAGCTCACTGAAACATAATGAAGTAAAGGCTTAATTTCACTTTCAGAGTGTGTCCACAAATTACCCTTTTACTAAGTACACCGTGTTAGGTCGCACCATAGCTCATGCAGTTAGTCACTGGCTTCCCAACACGGCGGCATAGGTTCAATCCCGGGTCTGGTCAAGTGAGATCTGTGGTGGAGAAAGTGGCGCTGGGGCAGGTTATCTCCAAGTACTTCCGTTTCCCTTGTCAATTTTCATTCAACCAAATTCTCCATCATCATAATCACCTGGGGTAGGTACAATAGGCCAATCAGTGGCCGCCGTGCCAAGTGGACCCAGCTGGACTCCACCACCCACTAGCAAATTTAAAAAAAAGTACACTGTGTTCAAAGCAAAGGCTGATTAAACACTGATTTTACTGTCAGCAACTTCCTGCAAAAGAGATGCACCACTTGCCAAGAAAAATGCCATCACGTAGCCAAAGTGCTAGCAAACATTGTTTACTTATTTTGTTAATTATTAATTAAATATAGTAGTTAATATTGTACTCACCATCACAGAAAAAAAAAAAACTCTGTGGCCTGTAGTCCACAATCAAACTACACAGAAAATGTCTGCCCTCTGCTGTGAAACATGTCTGAATTCTTTTAAACAGATTTCAGGAAACTTACTGCAATTCATATTGCTGAATGCTGTCATCTCCTTCAGGAATATTCTGTTTTAGAGCCTCTAGGTCATGTGGACTGTTGGCATATGCAACACATTTGAGTTTTCCCCACAAATAAAAACCACAGGAGTTCAGATGTGGGGATCTTGGGGGCCAACAAACCCTTGCTAATAATTCTATCCTCCCCATTAATTCTCAAAACACACCATGTAATACTTTGATAGTTTTGTTAGCTGTGCATGGAGTCATGGTGTCTTGCATAAAATAACCGAATCTTTCTTCTGCAGGTGCAAAATTAACGAAAAATGGATTGAGTACTTCATTAATATATTGTTGGGCATCAAGAATTCCTTCATAAAATATCGGTCCAATGACATGCTTTGCACTAATCGCACACCATACTCCTATCTTTTGGTAGTAAACCAGAAGTTGAATTAGGGCATGAGGATTTTCACTACTACAATACCTGTTGTTTTGTGAGTTAACATATCCCAAGAGATTAAAATTAGCTTCATCTGTAAAAAAAAACAGCTTAGGATCAATAAGTCCATCATGCACATTATTGATAAACCAATTACAAAAACCTCACTCTTTTTTTCATAATCCACAGGTTTAATTTTAGGAACAGTAATTTTGAAACGATGAATATGCTACAGTTTAGTTGCTGTCCATGCACTGCTTACAGAAACACCACTTTGTTGTGTTAATTGCTGCAAAGATTTATGAGAAAAATTCTCTAATCGATGACCGATGTCATCAATTTTTTCCTCAGTTAAAACATGATTTATTTTTAATGGCTTTGTCAATTAAATTACTGCTGGCTCGAACTTTGTTCATTAATTTTGAAATTGTATCTCTAGATGGACACATGTTGTGTCAGGAAATACATGGGCAACTGATTAAATCAGCAAGGAAGTATATGGTGTTCTTTATGTGATATATATATATATATATACACACAGTAAAACTTGGTTATAGCAACATCGGTTTCTGCGACACCTTGTCTATTGCGTCAAATATTCAATGGTATGAACTAATTCCTCATAAAGCAACTGTTTTTATACCTTGCTTAGTACGACATGCACAAATGCATCAACCTTGTATGTAACGTCATTTTCATTCCTGAATTTCTCTGATATCGTGGGAAAGTTCAATGTGTCTGCCCACCCTCACTTTCTCTACTTGCTGATGTGACTGTCCTGGAAGAATACGACCGCGGGCTGCAAGAGGAGCGTGGGTTTTATGCGAAAACAAAGGTGTGGGGTGAGACTGCGTGAATAGTGCAAGAGGACGCGGCAGGTTGTTAACTGCATTCCTTTCCTAGAATCTCGTCTAATAGGACCTCACATTGTCTACTTACCCTATAGTGTTCCTGCCTAAACCCAGAGAAGTGCAGTAGCNAAGTTTATGTAAAGATTATAACATACATGTAATTTCTGAGGGACATTTTGGATAATTTCTGTATATCACAGATTTATTTTATTTGGCAGTAATCAAGTGGGTTCAAACTATCTTCTTCTATGCCATTAAAAAAAAAAGGTAAAGCTACCCCTGTAACAGGCCATGAAGGCACACAGGGTTGTGAGACGTCGAAGCTTCCACATTTTCTCTAGGCAACCAGCTCACAGATGGTGGTGAGGATGTCAGCCTTATGAGCCAGCTGCCTGGTACTCATTTCTGTTAGAGGCTGAGTCGACCCAAGAGCCATAGTGTGGCTGGAAGGATTAGGTCGATTGAAAAAATCCACCTTATCGGGACTCGAGCCCGTGACCTTCTGGCTTGTAGCATAGTGCCTCAACCAACTATGCTACTGCGTGCCCCTTTCTTCTATGCCATTACAAAAGGATATTCAACTTATTTGCAAATATATGTTCACCTTGTAAATTAAAGTTACTTCCATGTCTTCTTACTGCATGCCACTTACTTTTCTTTGTATAAATGCAGAATGCCCTTTGTAACTTCAACAAAGGGATTTCCTGAAACAAAATTCATCTGCTCTCTGGTTTTGAAACCAGGATCCATGCAATCAGGCTCACATGACCACCGTGATTTGGGATCTGCTGCAACAGTAAAAGACAATATTTATATAAACAATAATGGATGATGCATTCTAACTTAGAGAGTGGTGAGGAAAGTAAGAGCATAGTTCTGTTTGTACAAAATCAGGAAAGTGGGTGAGACTGTGTCCACTTGGTGCATCAGTCACTAATTACCTTATTGTACCAGCTCCTGATGATAGATGATGATGATCGTGAAGCATTTGGTGGAATGAGAATTGGCAGAGGAAAGGGAAGTACTTGGAGAAAACCTGCCCCAATGCCACTTTGTCCACCACAAATCCCATGACCTGACCTGGGATTGAATCTGGGCCGTTGTGATGGGAAATTGGTGACCTATGGCATGGCACATTCAGGAAAGTGGAAATATGCAGGTATTCCATTCCACATCAAAAATTTTTGCTAAATGTCTGGGTAAAAGGTGAACTTATCCCTGTGATGAGACGTTGAGGCTCCCACATTTTCTAGACAATCGGCTCACAGATGGTGGTGAGGTTGTCAGCCTTACACGACAGCCACCCTTTATCCCCAGGAAGATTCCTGGTACTCATTTCTGTTACAGGCTGAGCCAACCACAGGGCCACAATGCAGTTAGAAGGCTTAGGTGAACTGAAAAATCCACTGACCTCATCAGGAATCAAACCTGCGACCTTCTGGCTTGCAGCATAGTGCCTGGGCCAACTATGCTACTGTAGAAGCTGAATTTTTTACTTTAATAAAACTTGATATCTCCACAGATTGGCCAGTAAAAGTATGAAGTATTTTGTCTTAAAACCCTGTTTTTGATGACAGAATGAGGAAGTCTGTGTGGTGCTGGATGTTTCATGCCAGTCATGATAGTGCTAGATAAAAAGCATCTTATTCTCATGACTAATGGAAACCGGATGGGACTAAATTCATATTCTAAGCTACCATATGACTTTGTTATAACTTGTGTTTTTTGAAGTGAAGAACAAATTACTCCTGAAATAAGCCATACGACTTCCAGTACCATAACATTTGTTGGGTAAAGGATAACCAAATGAAAATATGAGGTGACAGCAGTCACCATTGCTTCTGTGTACAGCATAATTCTCAGCTTGCTTTACAGTCACCAGTTCCATTATAATTGTCTAACTACAATGGTGACATCTGGTTATATTTCACATTATCACAGCGTATAATTCACAAGTTAGTTAGTTAGTTAGTTATTGGAGAGGGTGGGTTTCCCCATTCACTGAGACCTGTATTGGTCCACTGTGCTTCCCTCTACGATATTCTACCAGTATCTATATCCTACCGGTACTGGTGCTTACCATCAGTCCCGCCCAGCCAGCGAGACCGGCTCTACTAGCTGAGAGGTATCTATAATGCTTCCCCCATCTACCAGAGGTATTGAAGACTGCTGTTGGGTGGGAAACATCCGTAATTTGGCTCAGTCACCTCCTTTTAAGATATGAAGTTCTTTTACGTGCCGTAAAGCTACGACACAGGACCCACGGCTTGAAGTCCCTCCCGGAGGACTTGTTCCCTGAATTTTTCTGCCCTTAAAAATTCGACGACTTCCGCTGGGTATTTGAACCCGCGTACTACGAGTCATGAGGTGGGAACGTTACCTCTAGACTACGGAGGCCGCTAGTTCACAAGCTAGGCTTCACTCTTACGTTGTATGTAATATGTATTGGTAATGTTTCTTTTCTGTTCGTCATATACTGTTAGAATGTCATCGATATGTCTATAATAGTCCATAATTTTATGTTTGTTCAAAATATCAGCGATTAATGTGTGTTCTAAGTGTTGCACATATACTTCTGCTAATAAAGCCAATGTTGGGGCCCCCATTGCTAAACCCTCATTCTGTACGTAATACTGTTCATTAATCCTTATGTAATTCTGCTATAATATAACATTCAAGAGATTCAATATTCCTTCTTTTACTATTTCTTTGACATCATTCCTGTTCAGTACTTTGTCTATTGTATTTTTAACATCTGTTATAGGGATATTTGTATACATGTTTTCAATGTCCAATAAGCACAATCTTGTGTTCTCATCTACTTTAATCTGCATAAGTATATGGATTAATGTCGATGAGAAACTAACTTATACTAACCCTTTATAAAATTGGAATGTTAGCGTTGCAGTTTGGTAATGTTATGTGAGAAACTTGCAGCACCTGAAGACGACCCATTTGAGGTTGAAACATGTAGTATGTGCTATATAAATAAATAAATATTAAAGTATTGTTGCACGGATGGTAAAATAGGAAAGTGACATTCGCTCTGTTAAGTAAATAAATATTTAACATACTTCCAACCATTTAGAGCAAATGTAATCTTGCAATATGGGCCATATTAATATTTTCAAACATGCTGTCAAAATTATGCATTAGAAGTTATATTTTATTAAAAATTATGAGAAGTAACACTAATTTTGATGCTGGAACTCCTGATATTTGGATTCAATCATATTAAAATCTACTAGAATCTCAAAATTTTATTTTACATTTTGTTGAAAGGTGCTCCATAAGAAGAATAAGGCACGAGTTACAGCTTCTTTTAGCACTGTTACATTTTTCATAATGCCCTCAAGTAATTCAAAATGGAACAATTTCAAGGATATCTCTCAAATACATACACTGTAACAATGTGACAGCAATCAAAACAGTATGATCAGGGCTTGGAATGTTCCATGTTCAAAACAGAATTTCATGTGAGGGGAAATCTGGTAGCCCTGTGCATGGTTGGACGGAGAAGACAATGAAACTCGTTGAACAGTCGGGATTGTGGAAGAATGTGTATGGTGGCTCATCCTTTTCTTCACTCTGAAAGTCCCACTGGATACAACAAAATTTATGTCTAGGAAATCACCATGTGTGTATTTAACCTCTTACAAACCTGTCAAAAGAATGGAAACATATTATTTTATTTAATTTGTTACCTAACCTATTCAACTTCCAAGTATATTGGTATTCTACAAAAAAAAAAAACTTTATTAAATTACAGAATGTAGGAGCCAACCTTACCTTCAACAGAAGCAAGAGGCAAAGCTGCCGATTCCGTGCTTTCTGAACCAGGGATTAGTCCTAGGGGTCTTGTTTCTCCTGTGTCACTTGAGTATGTCTCAATTGTAATGTCACGCATTTCACGTCGACCCCTTGAGAAATGGAACTTGTCACTTTCAGCTGCCATGGCTCCACACGGCACTGAAAATAAATGCCTTATGACAATTCACCACAACCAAAAATAATAAAATTAAATACACACAAAATAAAATAAGCTGCAGCCTCACCTGTTTGTTTTTCAGCGTCTACACTATATACACAATTTAACTCAATTCGAAATATACATACAGATACAGCTACTGACATCACCCAAATTTAAAAACAACAAACGTATTTTCAAGCAATGCCTTTGAGACAATCGAATGGCTAGAATTTACTCATATGTACATAATTACTACTGATCTTATTAAAACAATTCTATAATAACGCAAAACAACGGCACAGATGTTTCTGTAATACGTCGATACCGCTCAATGAATCCTTTACTTTCGCACGGCGCATAAACAAGCATCATTCGAATATCCTTACACGATTTCTGCTTTAGACACAAATCTGCACGGATTAGTATTTGCGCGACATCTGCTAAGAATTGCATGAATAACATGCACTGCTCTTTCTGTTCTGCTTATTGGGCAAGCGGTAGGAACGATGGGAGCGATAGCGTATGCACAACCATGCACAGTGGTATGAACGGTACAAGTAGAATAGTTGCAGGCTCGTTTTCCGATGACCGAATTCATCCAGCCACACTATGGTCCTAAGGTCGACTCAGCCTCTAACAAAAATGAGTACCAGGAACCTGATAATCTCACCGCCGTCTCTGAGCCGACTTTCTAGAAAATGTGGTAGCCTTGACCGCCTTGACGTTCCAAAACCCTATGGGCCTTAACGGCCTGTTACAGGATAGATTTTATTAATGATTATAATTATTCAAGTCTCTGTCTTGTTCTCCCCCACAAATTGTCATTATTTTATAAACTGTAAACTGGGCTGTGACATATTGCAGTCTTGTAGATCATTACCCTGAAGACTGAGGTAGGACATTCCTCTGAAACGCTGGTAAATATCCATCAGACTACACGGTGTCACAACCCCAAATCTCGGATTATAACCTTTACGTTTGCTAATTTCCCCTAGAACTTGCTTTGGGCTTTACGGGTATTCTTACGTGTCTTACGTACAGTAGTGCTACATCAGCAAGTGGGGAGCCAAGCATGTCCCCCTCCCCAACACTGGATAATTTGAGAAAAAACAGCATCGGAGAAAAAAGTAAATATACTCAATATTAATATCAAATTATCTTGAACTCTGTTTGTGGAGACATCTATGTTTCAGTCTAGACACAATTTTGGATTAAATTACATTACATTACATTACCGGGCTAATTCATCTACAACCAATGGTCACCGACATGCGCAAGAAAGGGTGTTGTGGGAGAGGGAACCAGCAACGCGCGAAACGCAATGCGCAGTTTTAAATTTGAAAGTCACAGAAAAAAGCACATAAATGCAAAATAACATGGAATTTAACAGTCTGAGTGTACTGCAACATATTACTTTGCTTAATTATGTTCTTATTTATAAAATTATATAGCATTAGTCTAAAGTATGCATTATATACACTTTCAAGTTCATTGCATGCAATATTATGAACATTACTTCTCTATGTTACAGGCATTGGTATCAACCATGAATCGGTATTATGATATCACGAATTTAGATAGTGTTTCAGTAACACTGATATTTATATCAGTTATCACAGTGCTCTGTATGGTGTACAAATTATGTGTGCTTCTCAGGAAGAAATGGCCTGTAGATGAAGGTACTGATGCAGGAGTTACCTTATGAATTAAATTTTGCTTTGTAATAGCAACTAGCAGGTTATGGCATAGTTTAGCAGATTTGTAAAATGTTTTGGAGAAATTTTCTGCCTCTGTGGTAGATACTGCATTTGAGAATATCATAATCTTGATCCTTCAGTGTGAACCTCAAATCTCAACTTATATATCAGTGAAGTACTGCAATTTTAAAAACATGAATGGCTCTTCAGTGAATTACAAAGATTAAATAAGATAGTTAAGGGGGAGCATAAGAATAGTCACATAACCCAAATTAGGGCTGATATACTGGTGAATTTCACAAACTTAAAAAACAGAGAAAAGTCTGTATGAGAGATTTAGGCTAAACTGCTTGTATTTTACTTTTCAGACCTAATTTCTACATTCGACCAAAATGTTTCTGCAGGTTGCTGTAGAGAGAGAATAAAAGGGTATAGAGAGAAAGTGCCTGGAGATTCACTTGGATATGCTAACATAATTGATGAAATTCACTTTGCTGCATCTGTATGTAATTGGATGCTGATTTATCATAGTTATTTAATGATGTACCTGAAATGAATAGTAATTTTAGCCTACTTTTCTGTCTTAATTTAACTCCTACTTCGCACAACGCAAAATTTCAACTCCATATTTTTTTAGAACAAAGTTCATCGTAAATAGCGGTACATATCATAAAATAGAATTCCGATTGTGGTAATCACATTGTTTGAAACATATTCTATGATGCATATTTAATAAAATGCAAGTAAAATGTTTCATGTCAGAAGCAATGTAAGTGTAGAATATGTATTGTTGAAAGGCTGAACAGTGATCTGTCATAAAATATATACACAACAGTACTATAAATAAGCTTTGGTAGATCTCTATCTGTTGCAAAATTTGATGACCATGTTTAGAAAATGTATGCACTCAAAACTGAAAAGAAGTTTCCTGCCTTAGTCAGTGTAAAGACTAGGCTACAGGCTGGGTTACTGAAGCACTGGTGTTTTATTCCTGATGGGGGCAAGAGATCTTTCCCTTCTCCACAACATTGAGACAAACTCTGGGGCCCAACCAGTATCCCATACAATGAGTACCAGGGACTGTTTCCTTGTGGGATAAATGGTAGGGGCATCCATCCAGTTCTAAGGTATGACAAGTGGCTCTTTAGCTCCACTTCCCCATGTCTTCATGGCGTGGCACTTTTTTTAAATTAATCAATCTCATGGATAACTATACTTTATTTTTACTCATGTTCATTACAAATCAATTTAGGAATGCACAGAGCATATTTTAAATGGATGCATTTCAGAAATCACAGACTGAACATTTTAACTGCAATAAACTACATTACAACTTTTAATAAGTACATTTCTATCAATGACATGGTAAATGAATGAAAATGGATGAGGTACTGAAAGTGTGACACAGGAAAGGCCTGTTGTTGCCAGTGTCTAATTTCACTAACACATGTAGTTTGACTTAAACCTTCATGTTGTAGTAATTATATTTCTGTGAAATTTGGTAATGTTTTTCTAAAGAACAATATATTGTAAGAACCTAAAATGCCTCTCTTATTAAATTAAACAAGTTAGCTCAAACAGTCTTGACTTAAAAAATTAGTGTCTTTTGATATGTGATGCCATATGGGCTGGTAGAAAAGTGCATACCAGTGTTATGGAAAACTTTCTGCAATCTTTTTTAGCTGTATATAATTACAGTTTTGTATCCATGCAATATGTATTTAAATATCAGAAAGTATTCTTGTCATATATGATGTCATAATATACAGTAAATATTACCACGGTTACTATAAAACATACAAGGTTTATGCACTCATTGTTGTCCTCCAGCCAAGGAAGTTTCCCAGTTTCTTTCAGTGCATAAAGGATGGCTTAAGACGGTACACACAGGGCATGTACAACATTGCCTACAAGTGTGGCCAGATCTGCATTGGACGTTCTGGATAAGTCAGTGGTGGCAGAACAATGTAGTAACTTCAGACACTGCTTCATACCCAAGAATATGGGAATGACAGAATCTCCTCCATCAAATCCAGACACTTGAAAGGATTCTGACGATGGTGTATACTGTACTTCTTTTGGCTTCTTTTGGACTTCACCCATCGTCTGGTACCAGATTAATAGTGAAGTCCAAAATAAGCCAAAAGAAATCCAGACACACAGATCACATCCTCATGGAGGCCACTGAGACTGATCTACAGCCACAAATACTAATGAAGGAGAACGGCCTCTGTCCTGAGCAAATCATGGATGTCTCTTCTCTGTTCTCTGAAGGGATACAGAAAACTTGCTCAGTGGGTGGGTCATGTAATGGGGTTCCCTAAGGTGGGCTTCATTAGGGCCCCTTGATAACCGCTGTTTTCAGGGTTTCCTTTCCTTCTACTTCCTTCTTTAACTTTATCTCCTACATTTACGCTGCATAAGTATGTCTCTGTTTAGAACTGTTGTCTCTTCCCAGGACATTGTGGGATGACCAACTCCCCTTCCATTTCCTCTTTCTTCTCCCCTTTCTGCTAGCAATGCACAGGTGTGCTTGTGTTCAGTGTAATTACCCTTTTGTATGCCTCTGTGAATTGAATTCTCTCCTTTCCATTTGTTCTTGTTCCTAAATCATCCTTTTCTGCTTGAAATGCATAAGATCACCTTTATTCAGCACAATGCCCATTTGTGGACCGCCATGGATTGTCTTCCTTCCCTTCTTTCTTTCTCTTATCTCTCTTTGTATCTGATGATTCACAGGTGCATCTGCATTCAGCATAATTGCCCATTTACAGGGCTCTGTCAATCAGACCTATGGGGAACTCTGCTTGATTGCCCTGACACACCTTCCAAAACCATGCAGCTTCAGTCTTTCCCCTTGCACTTCCTCTTCAGAATTTGAACCTGCCATTTTATAAGCCATCACTCTCACTGGCTTGCTCACAGTTCCATTTCCTTTCTACATCCTCATTTTCCTCATGTAACTGATATTGATTGATCAACTAAATGGGCTGTACCAATAAGATTGGTTATTGAGTCTGATTTATCATGTATGATTGATGCAGTCTTGATTTACTTGCTATGGCTAAGGAGCACAGACCAGCTGGCATTAAATCCTCAAGACGCTTGGAAAGTGTTACACAACCACAAGATTCTAAACTAGCGATCAGCTCGGTCTAGTAAGCCCAAAATAATTTGCAGAAGGTCCAAAATTTAATTACTATTAGTCACAACATGTCTCAGCATTGACATGTGCTCTTTTTCACTTTTTATCTTTGCAGTTCTGTTAGAAATGGTGAATAGCAAGATTCTTAACATGGTTCCTGTATACACTTGCATGTTAACATCAAGAGTCTACATATACTCATATGTCTTGCATTAGTTGACAAGTTTTAATTTTCATTTTTTTTTTATTAATAGAGACTGTGTCAGAAATTTTATGAAGAAAACTGCATTGCACTGCTGAATAAGTATCCAGAAGCTGTCAATTGTCCAAAGCCTCCATCAATGTACACTCCATTTCTGGTAAGAGGTGAAGTAAATAACGTCTTTTTTTTTTTCCTTTTGTTTCAAGTGAAGTTTACAGTACAGTGGACAACAGTTTCAAAATCTAACTGGCATATAATATCAACATCTCATAACATACCTTCCCAGCGCTGTCTTCAGCTTATGGTTATTGTTTTAAAATCAGGAGACAGCACGTGCATGGTGAAGCCACCTAAGTTCAATGGGGCTACATCATGGGCTGTGTTCCGGTGCCAGTTCGAGACCACAGCAGAGCACAACTGCTGGATGTGTCTGGAGAAATCCGCATATTTGACCACCACCTTGCAGGGCATGTTAGAAATCTGTTATGGCCATTACCTAGCAATGGCCGTTGTTTACAGAGTCATTATTTAGCAACTTGTCTACATGCCACATTGCTTCCTCCTTAAGGCTATTTGTCCTGAAAAGTCAACAGGCGTTCCATCATTTCTTCCTTTCTGAAGGGTGTGCTTGTGACGTCTGTGATGGACCTCACCTTCCTTCCTTGTGGCTTAGTTCTCACGGTGACTACTTCAAACTACTCCGCTGCTCCCTCATTAAGGCCACTCGCCCCGAGATATTCCCTGATAAGGTGCAAGCCAGTCCAGCTGTACACATCTTTCTCGATCTAGGGTTCCACTGGAAACTGTACACCACATCGTTTATCTGCTTGATTATCCTATATGGGCCCACAATTGCAACGAGTTACACCCTTCAAAGATCACCGCAACTACAGCAGTTTGCTATGTCTTCACCAGTCGTTGCCTGGTGATGAATTCCAACAATGTTCTCACGTTCTCCCCGGCTGGCAACCGTCTCACAACTATCTCTTACTCTTCTAACTGCCATCTGAAGACTCTTCTCTAAGTCAAAGTCAAAGCTATGTTATGACCAACAGTCAGTTGGCCAGTCTCTCTTGGTGTGAAGCACCCATCTGGGACCCAACACCAGATTTTTATGAGTGTCAGACAGTTCCAGGGTTGCTGATGTGGAGCACCTTCTTTGACGAAAGGAGAGGTCTGTCATTTACAATTGCTGCTGGCTCTCGCCAGTGCAGTCATTCTCAAGGCCGAGTCCCTTGGGACTCATGACAATATTTTAATGTCTCAGATTCAAGACTTCTCCAACCTGGAGGGCCAGGTCCACATATTTATATCCCCCAGGAAGAGGGTGGCCCAGTTACACTCCCAGGCACTGGGTTCCCTTTATGTCACCCCCTATGACTCGCAGGGCTATGGTGGAGTTATTTGAACCTGCATCCCAGACTCTTCTCTAATGGCAGCTGGCCATTGTTATATAGCCTCAGCATGGACCGCTCTTCTATTGTTGCATGTGCATCTGTTGTGGTCTTACCTAGCAATGGCTCTTGTTTACAGAGCAATTACTTAGCAATGGGCCTACCTGCCACAATATTTACAGGCCCACCTCAAAGATAAGCCCATATAAATCTTCATAGAAGTATGAATTAATGGCATGTGTGTCAAAACCAATGTTCATTCACAAGGCATATTTGAGAATACAGCATCATACGAAGCAAAATTTCACACATATTTTGATTACAGATAAGAACAATTGGGGACAATTTATGGATGGAGATATGAATGAAAAAAGGGACAAACATCTGAAGATGAGGCAATGTACTGGAAGTGTAATGCTTAAGAATAAGTAACCCAATTTATTACATAGTGAAAGTGATCAAAGTAGGGAGAGTAAGATGGCTGGGACATCTTTTTAGAATGCAGGAGGAAAACCTTCACAGGAAGTTAACTCTACAGAAACTAGAGGATACTTGACAAGTAGGCAAACCTACTATCAGGTGGCTGGATTCGGTTGAAGAAGATATGAACACAATGGGCATTAGAAATTGGAGACAAAGTCACAGGACCGGGACCAATAGTGAGCAATTGTAAATAAGGCCATGGTTCATTTTGGACTGTAGAGCCTGCAGAAGAGGAAGAGTAATTTTTTACATTTTATCAGTAATGAACAGAAAATATCTAATAAAATGGCAGCACAATAGTAATTCAGTATGGGTGAACATCATAGTATTATTAATATTTATTTCTCACTAGTAACTTCAAGGAATGGCTGTACCATAGTTCAAGCGGTTAGTTGCTAGCTTCCCATCACAGCAGCCCGGGTTTGATCCCGAGTCTGGTCAAGTGGGATCTGTGGTGGACAAAGTGGCGCTGGGGCAGGTTTTCTCTGAGTACTTCGGTTTCCCCTGCCAATCTTCATTCCACCAATTGCTCCATAATCACCCTCACCTATCATCTGGGGCTGGTACAATAGGCCAGAAGTGGCCACAGTACAAGGGACTTAGTCCCACCCCACTAGCAATAAAAAAAAAACTTAAAGGAATCCATAATTTTAAATCTGACTGTAATTCTTCTTTCAGTTTGCATACTCTTCTCCAAATGACAATCACAGTAGTTAATACAAGTGCTTTTCTAAGCTAGTATGCATCCTGGCAAATATGTCACAGTCAAAAGTCATACAGTCTGCTAATGCACTGTATGTTTTTGACCTTGAAGCTAAACCCAAGCATGAGAGTACTGACAAACACGCTTTTTTTAGACAAAATGAGTGTTGGTTAATACAATGTATACATCCACATACCTCTAATTAAACAATGTGTGTTTAATACAATACAAGGCTATAACCCATGAATCATTTTTTCCTTTCTTCAGTTAAATTTAAATTCAAGGATGTGTTTATCACTTGAAACTCTGTAGCCTTGTTCCATGCATTAAAAAAGAGCATAATGGATTCACTGAGAGATAATTATGTTTCTTCAATGGTCTGAGTTGTGACTGTTACAGCACATGTTCAAGTATTATATTTTAAACAGAGGGCATTTTTAGTTTTCTGATCTTAAATATTATCATTCAACAATCCATACCTACAGGTATTACAACCATTTGGATAAGGAAATTGTCAGTTTTACATCTAAATCTTGTGCATATCTTTACAGTATACACTGTACCACCCTAATATAGGGCGTTTGTCATCTGAATAATATTCAATGATTTTTATGGTTCTGATTATTTACAGAGAGCATGTTGGTGTGGAAATCCTAGGCCTATTGAATACATGCTCAGAAATGGTAAGCTGCCATTTTTATTGATTGTTGGTTTTCAGGTCTCAAATTTGTTATTATACAGTATATATAGCAGGCTTGTTGGTATGGAAATGACAGATTTATTGAATACATGCTCAAAATGATGAGCCCTCATTTTCATTAATCTGACATAGGAAGTTTCTGATTTCAAATAAATGTGTGACACATGCATGACAGCAAATGACTTAACTATTTCTTAAATATATTCAGGTGCTGATGTTACGATGCGTACAAAGAAAGGGGATACACCAATGTTCCTGGCAATTTACAGAGTGACCAAGAAGCCACATGCCTTTGATCCAGAATGTATCGATATCCTATACAATGCAGGTACTGTAGCATAATGTAAACAGGAATCACTTTACACTGCCAAGAAGGTATTTTTAATAAAAGAGGAAAAGATAACCAAAAAGTTTAATGTGTAAATACAAGTGTAGGGGTGTGTGATATGTGGAGTACTTGCGTTTTCAAAACAACTTCTCTACAATTTTGCTTCTTTATTGGTCTCTGTGTTCATTTATTTCAGATACGGATCTACTGTTCATAGAGGTAAGCAACAGTGCAAACACATTCCACAGAAGCACGAATTCCTCAAATTTTGCTAAATATATGCCAGAATAATTAACACAAAAATGTTATGAAGAAAAAAAAATTGTTACCTTTGTGTAAACATCAGCATACAGGAGTACCAGAGATAAAGCTCCACACATTCTTTAAATCAGTATCAGGTAGGGGTGATAGTCAGTTTCACCCCTAGAGAAAGGGCTTCAGGTGTTCATTGCATAGGAAGATCAGTGGGCACCAGAGCTGTTCTGGACATGGCGATTCCTTCAAGATAGGGGCACATCACTGCTGACCTCAGCTATTGTGACTGCTGAATATGGGAAAAATGTAGTTATATTTGAATTGATTTAAAAAATTGGAAAACTGATGAATTTTCTTAAAGTTTAGTATATATAAAGCTTAGGTCATCATACCATACCATTAAGAACAGGATGGCAGTGCAAACTGTGATAGCATTGTTCTGTTCAAGTTATGAGATATTATTCTTGAAGATTATGAAACTTCTATGAAGTTCAAATGAAATACAGTAACAGGGTCATCAGACCATGCAGATTAATTTCAAATGCAGAATTCAGCAATACATTTTCAATTATAATTTTTTTTCTGATGCCATTTCAGCTAATTAAAGAAATTCTGTCCACAAAATGGATATCTGAATGCTCTTTGGTAAAAGTGTAAACAGTATTATTATTTTTGGCACAGAATATAACCAATTTCATACTACTATTTGTAACATGGTTAAAGTGAAACTGAACAGTTCTGAACAAAGCAGACAGTATGCAGACACTATGCACCATGGTGTCATCTGTTTAAATAATATGCTGTGCTCTACTGTGCATTCAAGTCATAGGCAGACACTCTAAACAGTTTTTGTAAGGCATTTCATTAATAACCTGTATTTCTAGTATGTATTTATCCCACTTTCAAACTACCATGACTTCATAAACTTTCTGAATTGGACCTACTTCAAGAAGACCATCTTCAAAATCATCTGAGTGATGTACCCATGAAATTAGGCAGACTGCTCCCAAAGCACCCTCTCTCTCTCTCTCTCTCTCTCTATATATATATATATATAAAACAACTCTATAGTTTCACAGTCATTTCTTGCTCCCTCAGGTTGCAATATCAATATACCAAAGTCTCATGGCTACACTCCTCTTCACTTGGCAGCCAAGGCTGGCAATGTGGATCTTGTTCGCTGGCTTCTTGTACATGGTGCTGATCCAGACAGTGTCACAAAGTGTAACAAGAAAGCAGTGGATTTTGCCTATAAACGTGGTATGACAATTCAATAACCATGAAAAGATAATACATTTCTTAAAACTAAATTTTTGGGGCTGTGGAACATAAATGTTTCAAGAAGTTCTTGAAAAATCTAATCACCTGCTTTCCTTTCATTATATACGGAGTACTTGATGCAACATGGGCTGCACAGAAAATACTGCATCTAGCAGTTCTTCTATTGTTGCCTGTGCACTCACAGCTGAATGAATATAGTTAGTGAGTGAATACCTGGCAATGGCCACCTCTTCTGGCACCACTATCCTGGCTTTCAGGAATTGGGGGGGGGGCAGGACATGGAGGGCAAGGTGACCTCCACTAATTTTTTCAAAATAAGGGATGAAGACTAAAAATAAATTGTTTCATGACTTCTTGATTAATAATATGAAGTTTCTGTTGAAGACCTTTTCCAGAGGTTTTGGACTTAATTAAAAATGTTTCAGTGAACCCTTCAGTAATGTCCATGATTTATCACCACTGGTTTAAGACACATGATTAGAAAAACAAAATAAAAAAAGGAAGAACTGCAACTGAATGGTACACATCAGTGTCTGGTCTGTGCTGAAGATGTTAATTTATTGATGAAAACTTAAATACCATAAAGATACATACAGAAGCTCAATGAGGTTCTATGAGGGAAAGTCAGTAAATCGGCCACAAATAGGTGTAAAACGTAAAACGTGATATTCAAACCTGGAAAAAACATTTATTTCTTGATATTTCCTTCACCAACATTGATACACTTGTCCCATTAATTTACCAGTGCATTGAAACCTGCCACCATAGAACTTTTTGACTACTGTCTCAGCCACTTCCACACCTCCATTTTGACATCTCTGTCATCAGCAAAACACCTGCCACCAGGGTAGCTTTTTTGCGGACACAACAGATGGAAGTCATTACAGCCCAATGCAAACAGGGAATATTTCTTTATGAATATCCTTTGCATTGAGTCCTTCTGCCAACAAAAAATGCAAAACAGAACGTTGATCTTCGGTAGCAAGCTTCTCAAACAAGGTCGCCATTTTGACTACTGAAACCAGCCTTGGAATATATGCATGTGTGTATGCTAACCAGACTGTCATGAAGCTGGACTGTGCTGCTACTTAGTGATACATATTGAAAACCTATTACGTTCATTACAGCTGTTTTACTCCCATTTGTGACCTATTTACTGACTCTCCCTCATAATAAGGTTTCTCAAGAAGTAAATACAGGGCAAATTAATTATATATTCAAGTCTCCTTACCAGAATGCAGGACAAAATCACATACAGAGGTAGCTAATAACTTCCTTGAACTGTGGTGAAGTACAAATATTAGGAAACAAAGGTAAAAAATCAAAGTGCATTCATAAAGAAAATAAGAGCAGATTAAACAAGGGGAATGCTTGGTACCACTGAGCTGAAAACATAAAATTACAATCTTGCCTGTTTTGAAGAATCTTTTCTCTTTTTCCCTCTCTCGTAGCTCGCTATCAAAAGCCAGTACAGTGAAGTCACAAATCTGGTTCCCAGGCTGCCACATGGAACTTGTGAACTTGGTATCTCACATTAAGGGAAGAACATAGATTGTTGGTAAATCCTAAAGGTCCAGTGATTGAGATTAGCTCTTTCTAAGGTGCCCAACTGAGCAGGTGACTTCTCCCCACTTTGTTACGGATTGGCTGCTATGGGGGGTCCTAATTGCGGTTACATAATCAGCGACTGATTCGTCGGCCCTTTGGGTCCTCAACCGAATTTCCTCCATAAGGACATCATCTATCTCTGCAGGGAGATACCTATCCTTAAAACTAATAAGGAAATCTTCCCACGTATCCCAAGTACTTTGATTATTTCGAAACCACAATATAGCTTGACCTTTCAGTAGCTTGGGTACCGCACGTAACATAGATTCATCACTGACATCATATGCTAATTTCAATTCTCCCAGCCTTTCTAAGAAGGTATGCACACTATCGTCCGGCGTAAATTTCAAGCCCCATTTCCGGATGGTGTCTAATGGGAGAGGTCTGCGGCCTTAACCTCCCTGACTTATCTCCCCTAGGTCAGAAGGAAATTCTAAAAACTCCTCTGGATGGTCACGAACATACTGGAATAAGCGGAGTGTTAAATCCTCTTTACACCCAGTTACATCCAACTCACAATCCTCCAGCTCGGCTTTCAACACAGCTTCGTCCAACTGAAAAATCCAATTTACCCTAATATACTGTTCGGGGTGGGCCCTCACATACTCAGTAAGCCTCCTTCGTAATTCATCCCGAGAGCCTTCTACTGACAGGGTCATACGGGCCAGTTCCCATTCCAAATCTGATTTCCATAGCTTACGAATCCAAGCCGTACTGTACGACATCATAGCCCGAAGGCCCCCCCCCCAACGGACTAGTCATTGCCATCGTATTAACAAGCTACTTACTTTGACTGTACTCTACTATTGAGCAAAACAAGGCACCTCGTCCACCGGACACTTGCCCCATTGAACTGGCCCCTCCTATGGAGCCCCCGGCATTCGCCTCTACCAAGCTCATCCATGTTATGCTCTGAAACAGCTGTCCTCAAAATTACTTACTTAGTCAAATCGAAACAAACCTAATCTAATCAAGTCCCTGTTTGGGTGCCACTGTTACGGATTGGTTGCTATGGGGGGGGTGTCCTAATGGGCCGGGTAGGTCATTACTGCCCATCTCAGTTAACACATAATACAGTTGCATTTATTGCTGGTGTAAAATAAACAAAATACAGTGGACCTAGTGAAGGGTCCTCACTACATCAGTACACACTGGTGGGGGCCAAACCCTTTCGTTCTGCCGTATCCTTTTGTTAATTTTGTGGAAGTTAATTTGGCAAGGAATGGGGCCTCCCCATACCTGAGTGGGGCCAGCCAGCTCGGTAAGCCCGAATGCAGTTACTTACCCTGCGCTGGCCCAAGTTCGAACCCCCCCCTTTTTCCTCCAAGGTAGGGTATTGCCATTACTGGGTTTCCAGAGCCCCATTTGTGAAAACATGAAGCACCGCACAAAGTTGAGGCTGACTTTAAGAGATTCATCTTATTCATTTTACCCTGCAGTTATACAGAGCTCTGAAGAAAAAGACACTTATGAGGTGTAGTCAAATTTGCAGCTAGGTGAATCAAAATATGTTCTATTCAATCAAGTAAGAAAGAATCTAAGAGAAAAACTGTATACCTTAGCATGTCTGGTCACCAATGCTGATTCATTTCTGAGAATGGGGTTCAGATTGTTCTGCACTAGCCAGTTTAAAGCAGAAAGAATGGGGGTGAATGTGACCAATAACCACTATGGTGGCCATTACTGAATGCTGACAAATTAGGAATGTTTACCAGTATTACATCACAGAGTCAAACTTCCCATTTTAATAGGTGATATTAAAATTATTTGCGGCAATTAACTTAGTAAAAGGATTATTATTACTTCACACCTTAATTATATGGAAGCTATACTAAAACTGTAGAAGACACAGATCCAGAGTGAAATAAGTAGTCATTACAGTTCCATAATGTCATCACTTAAACCCTGAAATAGAGAAATTATTTAAGCAATTAATATTGTCATTACAGGTCACAAGAAAGTTGTTTCATTGCTGACAGTCTGCACTGCAGATGAAGCTTGTCAAAAAAGAAGTACTTCAGGATCTTACAAAAAATTACAGCACATTATGTTAGACAAATGCTAAAAACGAATTACTATTTCAGACATGAAATCAGAGCATAGTATTATAATTCAACTGAGAGATAACCATCCAAATACAACATTCATTAATCTATAATTTCATTCAGCATGACAGGTTTTGATCCTATGAACATTATCCAGGGTGCATGTTACACAATTACACAAAGTATTTTAGGTTTTACATCATAAAAAGAAATCAGTTTTAAAAGCAGTTATGCTAAAAAGTGTCATAAGATATTTTTTTTAAAGGACATATCTGGCTTTAAAATAACCTTTCATTATTAAACTTTTAGTGTGGAGGTATGATTCAATATTTCATACAATGGTTTTTGGAACTCACTAAAATCAGCTTTATTTTTATAATGTAAAATTCATAACAGCTTATGTAGGTGTGTAAGATGCACCTTTTACAATGCTTAAAGGATCAAAAGGACTGAGGTAAACTTATTTAAGGTAGGGAGGAATCAATATCCTTCTTGAACATAATGTCATATAAAGATTCATCACAATCACCATCACCAGCAATAACATAGATTAAACTATTAAGATTGTTCCAATTTCAAAACTAATAAAACTATTCTTCTTTAAGGATGTCCTCCAAATACCTCAATTTACGTATTCTGGAGTCAAACATGTACAGTTCCATTAATTTACATATTAATTTATAGATAGTTTAAACTTACATATATTGCAATTCTGCTCCTATTCTGAAGTGTTGTTCTTGTTCCTTCTGTAACACAAAAATTCTTAAAATTTAATTCCGTGACATGGACTTCATTTGTCTTGTTTTGTTGGGGCTCAAATTCTGCTATTGTAAGTTCACACTGAGACCCTATTTGTTTGTATAATCTAACTTCACTTATGCTAGATTTGAATTAATTTATGTTGTATCTTTCACAACATTCTTGTAAAACACGAACTGTGAATACTTCTGCCTTGTAATGTTAATGATACAAATAACTAACTGTCACCTATTCCAGGCAAATTCTATAGTGGGCTTTGAATGCAGTTCTTCATCCAGGAAAAATGTCTGAAACTAGAATTCACTTCAAACAAAACACCCATCAGAAATATGGTATTACTCGTATATTATGTTTCAAACACCTCAGTAATTAATGTTTATAATTCTGCCATCAATCACCACAGCATTTTATTCTTAAAATTTGTTTACAAGATATTTCACTTAAGTACATAGCATTTGAATCACAAACCATTTAGAGATTAAGTTACTAAATGTACTTCCTACAAGTTCCTACAAATATTCTTCTATATTTCATGTACCAGGCACAAGGAAAAATGCATACATTTTTGTGCAACAATGTTTTTTTGATACTGAGCAAGTTTCAGAACAAATACTGGGTCTTTTATAAGTTGGAAGATTAACATCACAGGAAATGAACTAAAAATTCACCCACCTTTGCTATTTTGGAATGTTCTAAATAATTTAACTATATTTTGGTTCCTGTTTCTTTATAACAGAACTATCAAAATACTTACTAAACATGTCCACATTAATGTTAAAAGGAACATGAGTACAGATATTCCTCACTTTAAGTAGAGTGAAATTAAGAAATTTCATTCATACAAACTTTTATTTTATAATGAAGTGCATACCCTCAGTTTGGCTTGTCATTCAAACATGAATTCACTCATCCAAAATTGCTTTTGAACAAAACAAAATGTGAACAGAAAGAAACAAAACACTGCCCACTTAGTCTGCTCACACTCTCCTCTGGTATGCATCTTGTATAAGATTTTGCTATGTAGTTTATATCATAATGCTACTGTTTGCAAAATCAGTATGTATTTCTGTTAAAAAATCTCTTATCAGTATTTCTTCCTAGCATAATTTCTTTCTGATGCTTATATGTTTCATTTCAGTCAATAAAACTGATTACTTCTATTTCTCTTTTGTTTTAGGAATGTAACCCCCGATTATAACATTGCACTTCTAAGAAATAGTGATTCACATTAAAACATTCTGCTTTACAAACTCTTTTCAGGTGTATAAATATTCATATGAGAAGGGAATTCCTGTAATGGAGCTTAATTTTAACTGCAACAATACAATGATCATACATGTATATAATCAGAGAACATACTGTAGATGTTTAACAATAATATACAAATTTGTTTTATTAGACATGTTCAACAGAATTCAAGCTGGCTAAGAGCAGTTGGGGTAAAACAAGAAATGTGCAAAATTGTTTGTGTAATGAATAATAAATTGAATTATTTCTTTGCAAGACTTGTAACAAATCAATGCCATTTCCTGTGTAGATAACTAAAAACCAACAGCACATCTTTCTCAAATTAATATTATCCTTTGGCACAAGTGATAAAATTTTGTGCCAATTGATTCATATGATGATCTGGTTCACGAAAAATACTGAACATGATTATTATGACTTGTTGATTCATTATTATACATAAAATGTGCAATAACATTGTCAACTAGCCATCTAAAAACTACACACAAGATTACTTTAATTACCATCATAATTTCCACAGCCAAAACACTAAGTTATTTATTGCCATTGGAATCATAGGAAGCTGCTTACATACAACATATGAACATTTTAATGTTTGGACATAAGCAGCTCAAAGTAGTATAATAAAAGTAAGTAAAAGTAAAGCTATCCCTGTAACAGGCCGTGGAGGCCCATATGGTTGTGAGATGTTGAGATTCCCACATTTTCTAGACAATTGGCTCATAGATGGCAGCAAGGTTGTCAGCCCTACGTGCTGGCCGCCCTTTACCCTCAAGAATATTACTGGTACTCATTTGTGTTAGAGGCTGAGTCAACCCCAGTGCCATAGTGCGGATGGAAGGATTAGGTCAATTGAAAAAAAATCCAATGACCTCATCGGGACTTGAACCTGTGACCTTCCAGCATGTAGCATAGTGCCTCAACCAACTATGCTACCGCATGCCCCCAAGTAGTATAATTTCATGTTCTTATATAAAAATTCAATCCAGTACATCCTTTCTTCAAAGTATCAGATTACATTTGAACCACATTATATACTAAAATGTAAACCAGGCATGAATAGCCTCAGAAGCTATGTTAAAGTTGAGCTAAAAACCTACATTTCAGAGATCCCCTTTATCTTCATAATCTGGTCTAACACCATTGATGACCTCTGAAATATTGGTTTTATGTCAACAATGACAGGGCTGATTGCCTAAAAGATTTTAGTGCATTTATTCAGTGTAAAAGCTTAAAATTTCACATTATTCAAAACTATTTTTAATCGAATTTCAAGCTTCTATGGGCTGACAGTTGCTTCCTTATCAAGGGTGGTTCACTTTCCCATGTTGGTTTCAAAACATTAATTTAAATAAGAATGTTTGTTCTCTGGGTTGTCCAAGCAGTGTAACAGGGGGCCATATTTTACTCTCGGCTTCATTGCGGTAATGATGGTCAAGAAGAAAGAATATTTAATGCATTCTGTCACAGCAGATAGTCACATCTAATATTAAAAATTTGGGCCTGAACTGATTTAAACAGATTTCAGTCTGATAGATGTAAAATAGTGAAGGCAATCCTCAGTCTCTGGATGGGGGGGTGGTATAAAGTTTTACTGACCCATGCAGATCTAAGTATGGTCCAAGTAACATCTTGCATCACTTTGTCTTTGGCCCACCTGGTTCACCATGAGATCACTATACAATACTAATCGAAATAAGGCTCTCAACTCTTAATACAGGTACATCTAGACTTAAAGCACGAAATACCACCTTCACACAGTCAACATAACTTATATCACACTTTCTATACGTTATAATGAATCTAAGCCATTTTGTATAAACGGAGAAGGATTTAAGGTCATGTGTCCAGCAGTCTCCATTTTAAGTTAAGGGGCAATGCCATATAATAATGTGGTACACTAGGCTCTTTACAGTTGGCATGAAGCATTTTAGTTCTGCATTACAATGGACCATATAGTATGGTCCTAGTTAATTTATAGTGATGTAAAGAAAGAATTTTCCTCAGTGCTTAAAACCAACTAATATTTTAGTTACTAGAACAGTGGGTTTTACTATTACAAAAACCTTAAAGTGTTCATCTAGTGCATAAATGAGGATCTACAGTTGCTGGCGATTCTACAAATTGCTTTTCCTTGTATGGGCATGTTAGTATTAATTTATTCCCAAGTAACCTACATGCACTGGCATCAGAATCAGGAAACCACATCCTAGTACACTAAACTGCAACTTCACCACTTAATTCTTTACTAAGCTGACATATTATTTTTTAATTTTTGTTTATAAACTCAAATGTGCTATCTACATTATTATCCTCATATCAGATTCTTAGTGAAACATGTAATGGCACTTCATCCTTTATCAGTCTTTTGTTCATTCATTTTACTGCTTTTTCAACTTTAACTCAGCATGAAATAAATGCAAGTAGAACCATGGAGTTCATCAGTCAAACTGCAAAGCTGATTATCCTCACAAAGTTTAATGGTCTTATTTTATCAGACTCTTCCATCTGATTACTAACATAATGCTTTCACCACAGGTTAGCACCATTTCCTACTCAACTGTTACTAAATTATAATTCATTGCAAATTTGTCATAATGTCCTTTTATTTTAGTTCAAGCTTTCTAACTTTCATATGGGAACACTATCATTACACAAGAGTGTCTTTCTCACAATGCTGCAGTATGTGAGTTCTTTCAGGTATGCTGTAACCCAAATGTCAACTGGGTCATTACTAGACAAAGAGCTTACAGACACAAACACTAAATATTTTGTGATTATGTTAATTTTTTCTGTGGGAAAAGCTAATTTACCAACTTCCATGGATGCTGCCATTTTTCCAATGAGAGGAGGCAGCAGACAGAAAATCTGTTTACAACCTTTTTTTAAAACTATTTACAAATAACTTTAGTGATCCCCTTGGACATTTGGGTTAGAATATATTTCAAAATAATTCTACATTTTGTACTAATATTTGGTAGATTTCCATCTTTTTCATTTTGATTTTCCCACTCAAAAAATTCAGGGAGGAAGATGTCTGGCTGCCCCCCCCCCCTGCTGGTACACATGGAACTTCCATTGTCTTTTTAATATTGCAATATGGCGCCTAAAAGCTGGAATATCAAATTCAAAGAAAATGTTCATTGTCAGCCAATGGCTGGGTAAACATTGTTCCCACAGTGAAGTCAGCCATTGCTACATAATGATTGGCTATACAGGTTCTTAGGGTTAAGCTGTAAACAAATACACAGCAGCAAATATTGTTACCATGGTAATTACAATTGTTTCTGACACAAAGTAATTTCAAAGAGCAGAACAGAACCCTTCAAGGCAGTTTCTGCTATCAAAGCCACCTAGCAGTTATAACCAGGAATGAGCCATGAGTTCGGAGTTCAAGTAGAAGAACAGAGGCTACACACCAATGCAAGATCCAGACAACAGTGAGAGGATCATTATCAAGGAGATAAATGTGTGAACTGTTGTAATCAAATGTAATTGTAATAGAGACATCTAATAAATCCAATCAAACAAATCTAGAACCCACAATTACCAGTCATGCTACCCCTTATATGGAGGAAACACCGAGCCACGAAAAGAAGTCACAAGCAAAACCCTTGGAACAGAAGGAACAGTGATACACTATTCAGGATGAACAGCCTTAAGGTGGGAACAATGTGACGTGCTGCCTAAAAGCCGGAATATCAAAGTAGAAGCAACAGCTGGGTAAACACTTCCCACAGTGAAATCAGCCATTGCTATGTAATGATTGGTTACACACATTCCGAGGGTTATGCTGTAAACAATACATGGCAGCATATATGGTTACCATGGTAATTACAATGGTTTCCGACATAATGTGATTTCAAAGAGCAGAACAGAACCTTTGAGGCAGCGTCTGCTGTCATGGCCACCTAAGAGTTATAACCAGGAATGAGCCGTGAGTTCAGAGTTCAAATAGAAGACTAGAGGCTAGACACCAGTGCAGCATTCTGTTTGCATTTTTGTGGACAAAATGACTCAATGCAAAGGGCACTCACAAAGAAATCTTTCTTATTAATGTTGGGAAGTGTTTGTCGCATAAACCTGTTCCAGCTTGGTGGCAAATATTTCACTGAGGATGAACAGGTTGAAATGGAGGTGTGGAAGTGGCTGAGACATCAGAAACAAATTTTTATTCTTTGGGTTTCGATGCACTAGAATAGCAACAGGACAAGTGTATCAATGCTGACAGAGGATATGTTGATAAATAAATGTTTTTACCCCCGTTTGAATATCATGTTTAACATTTTATATCCATCTGTAACCTATTTACCGACTCTTCCTTGTACTTCCCAGATACTGGGCTTAAATTCTCTAACACAACAACAAGTTTCAAATTAGGTTTCAGTGCACAATGAAAACTGATAATCGGCATGGTTTTAGGCACTAACAATTCATTAAGTACAACACTAATCTCTTTATGCTGTGTCTCTACAGTCCAAATTAATAACATCATGGATTTGGCAACAGTATTTATATGGATGGAACAACAACTGTAAAAAGACATTACTTATATTCTAACTAACTTTATGGAGCTGAGTTCTTCAATAGCAGTTGCTCAGACTCAAGAAAAACCCAGCATTTTATAGAACCATAAAGTTTGTTACTGTGTTAACAAGAGCCTGGCACTAGCTGCTATTCTGAGATATATAGATTAAGTCTATATACCCTCCCATCTGATTTCTTTACTTATATTATAGTTTTCCTGAACTTCTGAATTTATGATCATATATATAAAAGATGTAAAAATAAACTTTCAGAAAAATATTCATGATCTAATTAAGCATGATCAGCATATAATGTAACTGTTATTAATATAACTAAATCACGAACACAAAAAATGAAATAAGGTAAATTTAAAATTCCATCTGACATACATGTGATATGGAAACAGGTGTTTCTCATTTGAAACATGTCTGTATGCTGGCAAGAGCTCAACAGCCATGTATAAATCAGGTTACCCTAATACAGGACTAACAAATCTCATGTTTCTGAGACAGCTGAACAAGAATTGTTCATTTAGTTCATGAAATGAATAAATTTGATCATGCTTTAGTGTTCATTTAAAAACACTAATGTGAACCACTTGCGATGAGCTGATCACTCGCCCAAGGAGTCCTACCGTATGTGTAAGATCTAGTAAACTGAAGTGAAACGGAGAGTTTCATGGAGGTAGGCCTAGGCCCAAATGAGGGCTGTAGTGCCAAGGGGGGGAAAAAAAAATGTGAACCACAGCCCGGTCTAGAAAACCTAAATTAACGGCTAAGGGGAATTGTTGCGCTGACCACGTGACACCCTCTATCTGCTAAAGTTGGCACTAACTTCTCCGACAAGTGGCGGTCACTCAGTTGGTGTAGTTTGATTGCAGACACAAGCCACGGAGTTTTTTGTTTGTTTTAATGCGAACCATAGCACAAGCTGTGAGTTCCAGTACGCAAACTCAGATAACAAATGATATGAATGTATGAGTATACATTTTTGGAACACAACAGAACTTGGCATGCTTGCTAGCACTACCATCAACACACCTTTCTTTCTAACTTAGGTAATTTATTTCATGTTAACACATGAGATAAGGTAATACCATGACAATCTAAAACCTGCTTTATGTAATGCAGTTCAATTTCCTCACTGATGTAGCTATAGAAATTAAAATGTAAATATACATCATGATATTAAAACATGTGAAATGTAATCAAAATAAAATATACTTTTAAGTCCATTTACATATAAGTCATGAAAAAAATGTGTTTTTGAAGACTCTAAATCCTGAAACAATTATCCTTGTTTCTAAAGAAGTTTTCATTTTTCATATTTCATAGCCCTAACAGAATATTTCACTAGCAAGAGAGCTGGGCTTGGCATAAATGTATTGAAGTAGCAGTATTACGAGGGTAAGTAAATAAGTAGGTTACAAATGGATACAGAACTTAAACAAATAAGAGTAGTGATTTGAAAAATGCTTTTATTTCTCAACATAATCTCCCTGTACACTGAGGCACTTGTCCCATCGTTTCACAAGCCCCTGAAAACCAGCAGCATAAAATTCCTTGGGCTGCTGTCGGAACCAGGCCGTGACTTCCCTTTCTACAACTTCATTGTCGGGAAAATGTTCAGCTGAAAGATGATGTTTAAGAGAGCCAAACAAATGGAAGTCGCTTGGAGGAGGTCGGGGCTATACGGAGGATGCTCGAGGACTTCCCCCTTGAAATTTCACAGCATTTCATCTGTCTTGTTGGTGGTATGGGGACATGTGTTGTCATGCAAGAGCAACATGCCTTTGGTGAGGAGTCCTGGTCGCTTCCGTTGAATGGCCTTACAAAGTTTCCTGAGGATGTTACAGTAGGAGTCAGCATTTGCGGTTTGTCGTTGAGGCTGCAATGCGGTGAGCAGGATGCCTTCATGAGCCCAGTCACTGCCTTGTTCCAACAGCAGCCCAAAGAATTTTATGCTGCTGGTTTTCAGGGGCTTGTGAAACGATGGGACAAGTGCCTTAATGTACAGGGAGATTATGCTGAGAAATAAAACCATTTTTCAAATCTGTACTCCCATTTGATTAAGTTCTATATCCATTTGTAACTAACTTATTGACTTACCTGCGTATTTGTTTTTGCCTATGGAAAAACCCCCCAGAATTTACAGAATTGGGTCTTAACCATAAAACTGAACATAACAAGTGAACACACCTTGAAGAGAATAACAGAGTTATACCGGATTAAAAGTATAATTTCTTTGCATTATTGTCAATTATGCTAAAATAGAATAAATATTCTGAACACATGTAATACCATTTTCGATTATTATTAAATATAATAAATAAAATAGAATTATGGAAGGCAAGGAGTGTACTATACAAATTCAATTAAGGGCAAAGACAAATTCATATTTGCGCTTGCAATGTGGAACACACTGAATAAGAATATGTTCATGTTCTATTCAGAAACAACTGTTTTCAGAAAGAACAGTTAATACTAACTGTACTTGAATATTGCAAGCTGTACTTCTGAATGTTGTTATTTTGGATCCTTCATATTTGGGTTAAGCACCAAGTTGAAAGATGTTCTGGAACAGCAAAAATTTTCTGTTCCTTAAGTACTATACCACGGACATTAATATCCAAAGTTCATTTAAATGTCATTTCCTCAGACATTATGAAGCTCTGCTACTGTTAACTGAAATGTCAAATATTTATTGAGCAAGGAATCAACAATGCTTATTTCCTGTCACAAACAGTATCAAGTGCCTCAGAAAAATAATGGCATTATTCAGTACAACTGAACTTTTTCATAAGTACAAAATTCACAGAGTTTCTAGCTCATATATACATGTATGCAAAAGAATACAGCATTCAAAATGTAAAATAATCTGGCTTACTGAAGCCAACAATCTCAATCAGACCAGCTTCTAGAAGCCAATCTCGGTTTTAATATTTTCATATTCTGTAGTGAATACAACCAAAATATATCCCATAGTATAAACAATACTGGGCAAGGATTACAGAAGACTTTAAACTCGGCACTTAAAGCCAACCCAATTACCAGCAATCAAATTCTGTGAATGAAAAACATGACTGTGGTATTCCATTGTAGATACAAAGGCTTCCATGCAACAGACAGTTGACAAAGTGATAGCTGAGCATGGCAAACAGAAATGTTACTGTTGAGGTTGATTGGAAGAGTAGGTTGGTCTTCCAGCAAGCTCCAACAGATACCGGTCAGGATGGTCAACCCATTCATCTGCCGTCAACTTAACCTTCCGCAATTTCTCTGCCTGCTTCACTTCCCATTTTTTTATATCTAGTTGTGTCTCTCTGTAACATAACATTTTAATGACAGAATTATGAATGTTCTCATCTCAACATGCATATGTCCACACTGAAAGGCCATCACTGCATTAAAAACTTGGCCAAATTTTGCAATGGGAGTGTGACTCATCATGAGGCCTTCATATGCAAATGATTTTATGGTATCCATAAGAGACGGCCTATCCGAAGAGGGTATGAAAATTTCTGGATATCAAAGGTTAAGTATGTTTAATTACATCAATAATGATGTATTGACAATTAAAAAATATTGGCCTATGTTCCTTTAAAGATAATTATACAAGGGATCTTCAAAACTTTTTATTTTACAACTCTATTTTATTGTGTTTACAAAAACAAAATACATCATTAGTCTATTCAATCACCCTGCTTTTCAACATACTTTTCCCAGCATCCTACCAACTTTTTAATGCCATCACAATATAAAGTCTCTGGCTGCGCCCATAGCCACTGATGCACCGCATTCTTTACGACCTCATCACACCCAAATCTTTTCACTCCTAGAGCTTCTTTAAGTGGTGCAAAAAGGTGAAAATCAGATGGCACCAAATCTAAACTGTGAGCTGGATGTTCAATGACTTCCCACTTCCATTTCCTGAGGGTTTCCAATGTGTGAGCTACAGTATGGGGACAGGCCTTGTCATGCAACAACATGACACCCTCTGACAGTCTCCTTCTTGTTTTAGAGGATACTGCAGGCTTAACCTCTCTGAAGCATGTCACAATAGGTTGCACTTGTGACAGTTGCTTCACATTCCAGACAGCTCTTAAAATTAGGCCCTTGAGAATCCCAGAAGATAGTCAACATCAATTTACCTGCTGATGGTTGTGTCTTGGGGCGAAGCTCTCTCTCACAGAGTTATGTATGAGTGGACTGAAATGTTTAAAAATGGCCATATGAATGTGACTGATGCAGAGAACTCAGCTCATCCAACCACAGCCACAACCACACATGAAGAAGACAGAGCTAGGGAACTGATTCTTCAAAACAGAAAAGTGACAGTTGACAAAAGTGCAAAACAACTGAATATCAGCATTGGATCTGCCTTCAGTTCTATAAATTGTGCGCCAGGTGGTTAGCTAAGGAACTGCAACCATGTTTCATCAGGTGTGATGATCCGCTGTAGAAAGTTGCCACCTTCTTCATGGTAATGGGCCAAATGGCGGGAACAAATGTCTAAGCACATGCGCATACACTCATATCAGTTGTTTTGCAATTTCATCAACCGTCACTCATCTGTTTTGAAGTATCACTTTCCTAGCTCTTTCTTTATTCTGTGTGGTTGTGGCTGTGGTTGGATGACCCAAGCTCTTTGCATCAGTCACACTCGTATGGCCATTTTTAAACATTTCAATCCACTCATACACAACTCTATGAGAGACAGCACTGCCCCCATACTAAGCACACATGCACTGATGAATCTGCCAACCTGGTACACTTTCTGCCCACATAAAATGTATCACTGCTGCTCCTTGGTGCAATTCTCAAGTTTCGCTGCCATGTTTAAAAACTTCATAGCAACTTTCACAGCAGCTGCAAGTTTCAACAGCCTTGCCTTGTCGACTAGCCGCATGACACCATACAACACCTCCCCACCCCCGCCCCTTCCACTCTTTCCATTTTATTCTAAAATATAGAAGTGCAGAAACTTTTTGAAGATCCCTTGTACTTTCCTATGAAGAGAGACAGTTTGCAAAAATAAAACAATTCTAGAAAATGTATACTTCCACAACCCAGTCCTTCACATTTGACTTACTCAAGAGATGCATCACTGATATTGCAAAGCTGTCAGTATTATGGATCTTAAAATTTCAGTTTTAAAATTACAGTTCTGGTTGAATCAAATTAAAAATTTGTGAAAGAAATATGCAAACAGTAAAATCAGAGGAAACAAATGCCAAATTCTTGCATAAAATTACCAACAAACAGAGGTTTTACTATTCAGTTATTCGGTATAGAGGGGGTGGGTTTCCCCATGCACCGCGACTAATAGTCTATTGTACGTACCCCTTTAATTTCTACTGTCGCCATACCCTACCGATACTGGTGCCCGCTATCTCCCCTTTCTGCCAGTGAGGTCGGCCTTCTACTGGCAGCGGTACCCAATAATTCTCCCCTTTCTGCCAGCGAGGTCAGCCCTCTACTGGCATTGGTACCTGATAACTTTCCCCATCTACCGGAAGAACTGGAAATTACTTGGGTGGGAAACTTTTTGCCTAATTTTGTTTAGAGGTCTCCTAGAGACATGAGGATCTTTTATGTGCCATAAATCTATGACACTGGACCCATGGCTTAAAGTCCCTCCCGGAGGACTTGTTCCCTGAATTTTTCTGCCCTTAAAAATTCCATGACCTACGCTGGGTTTGAACCCGCGTAACTTGAGTCAGGAGGTGGGAACGTTACCCCTATACTATGGAGGCTGCTTGAGGTTTTACTAACTTTGTAAGTTACTGACTGACAAATGTATCAATTTAGACAGACATATTCTTTCCTGGATGTTCTCTGGAATATATGATTTATACACAACAACAATGACATCACCAGAATGCAGAACAAATCATAACATAAAGATAACTTGGACTCTACTCTTCAGTGTTATGACACTGTGTAGCCTTGTTGGTGGATACCGACAACTCTTCGGAATGTGCTATCTCCATCATGGTCAAACTGAGTATGGTGAGCATGTGGTTGGTTTGTACATGCAGGCTACAAGGAAGACAGTCACTCATATTCATATGAGGGAGCAGGACAACAGAGACTCATGCAGTCTCTCATGCATCAAGGGAAGCATGCAGAACTGACATAATCATAATTGTGCAGGCAAAGTGCTTGCACTACACGTCAGCAAGTCCTGCAGGACAGCTTAAAAATGGTGAATGAATGAAATTCACAAGAAATAACACTCTAAGTTCTCTCCACATACTTTGTACAATATACAGTGTATCTATCAATCATTACATATGTTATGGAAGACCTACCTGAATTTGTCTAAGTAACACCATGAAGGCATATGACTATGTTCTTTTCATATTTATTCAGTTTTAAATCTGAAAGAACCTACAACTGTTTATAAATAATATGTATCTTTCAAATACAACATACCTACATACATAAATTTGCCAAGGAAATCTTTCTGAAAGCAACTTGGAAGAGCAACAATATTCAGATGAACCTTAGGGATACTGGCTGTGAGAATGTGAAATGGTTCAGGATCACATCTCAATTGCTGCTGTACTATAAGTGGTGTTGAAACTTCAGACTCTGTGACCAGAGAGTGAAGTCAGTTCACTGTCCTAATTGTAATGAAAAAGTGCAATGAATGACTAACCTCGACTGTTGACTGCCACAGCCCCAAACCTGTACACAAATGAGAGGGTAAGGAATGGCACGGTACGTCACAACATCAAAGCCATCATTCACCTCTATGATGGGTTTACGGGGATCAAGTCCTGCCCGCAGGCCTTTTGGATAGCCACGTATACTATTGTTCAGGTACATCATCTTTGCACCCCCTGTAACACAGCATAACAAGAGAAAGCGTCTGTCATAAAATTGTTTTGATGAAATGAGAACTAGACGAATCTACGTACAAAATGAAATCATATCTGATTAAGTATAACTGTGAGAATTCATCAGAGGATCACTTTGTAACTGCATACTGACAAAACGATGCTCCTGCAGGTTGCAAAGATTGTAGGCTTCATGATTCACTGGTGGATGTTAGCTGTTATAATTATCCAAGGATATACTGTCACATGTCAAGAGACTAGAAATCAGGTTTGACTGAAAACTGGATTTACTCAGCTCTTGATACTTGTAACTACAATTAATTATAGTGCTATCACTGATTCACACACTTTCAAGTAGCATGTACTAAGTCTTCTCAGTCTGTTGTGTCTTCAGTGGATGTTGCCCAGTAACATCTACCAATGATGTCCATTCCTCAGCTTCTATGTTCCATGCCTCTGGTCCTTGTTGGCTGGTCCCTATCTCACAACTGACTATGACTTGCAGGTCCAAGTTATATAGCCTCGGCACGAACCACAGAAAATATTGCCTCCAGCATTTCTCCAACTGTTGCATATGTAAGTGTGCCTGAGATCATGTGATGTTTATTGAGCCATGACCTAGTAACCAGTGTGTTGGCTGAGCTGTTCCCTAGCAACAGCTGTCTCTGCTGGCTTCACAATTCTGGCATTCAGCAGATATGCCATAATATGAATTTTTACAATTTAAACATCTGTAATAGTCACAAATGCACATGCAGTATGCCACGTAGACAAAACTCTTATAAAATCCAATACCTGAACAGAACCACATGTGAAATGTAGCTCGATTCAAACTCATTAATCTGACAACTTTAAAAAACAAAGGTGTAGTTTTCTAGCAACATGAATGGGTAATAACACATCACTCATAGGCATGTTGTAGTATTTTACTGTTACAAAGTTCTAAGGCTATAGAAAACTAAATGCATGTCTTTCATTATCATGAAAACAAATACACGGTACTCTCCAGCAGAAAAATAATATTTAATGCATTTTTAAACACATAATAGTCACACACATTACCAACTCTCAAAACTTGTATAATGATTATTCAGTGAATTCGGTACAAATGAATCTGCTGCAGCTGTGACATATTCACCCTTTCAGCGATATCAGTACAATTTTTGCATAGGCATACAAGCTTTAATCACTTCCAACAGATGTGACCATAATGCTATTAACATGTACATGCATATCCATATACATGATTTTACAGTGACCATTATTCGGTAAAAATACAATCATTGTATTCTGAATGCTGAACAGAGAGTTGGCTGAGATATGAATTGGCAGAGCTGGACCAATTGCTTGGCCTCCTAGGTCATAAGATTTAACCCCAGTGGATTTCTTCTTGTGGGGTTATATGAAGAACATTGTCTACCAGGTTAAGATCAACAACCTTCAACACGTGAAAACCCGCATAAGGGATGCTGTTACATTACATTACATTGCATTCCACTGATCCAAAGTTATTAAAAATGACTGTAGGATGTAGAAGAGGTCATATAAATACAAAACATATGTACAGTCCCAATGGAGTTCTCACACAAGAGAAACCAAGAATGCACAGTGACTACACACAAGGCTATTTAAAGATACATAAGTTATTTTCTAGACAATAGGTATTCATAATAGAGTAGAATGAATGTGTATTTATGTATCATTTCAGTGTTATTTTAAATTGTGCCCTTTCATTCATAAGACATTTGAGACCAGATGGCAGGTTATTAAGAATGTTGATCCCAGCATAATATGAGCTTTTCTGAAAGCATAAGAGGTTAGCAACTGGTTTATGAAGACTGTGTTTGTGTCTTGTGTTAATACTGTGCACATTCACGTTCGTCTGAAAATGTTCTTCATTATTTGTTAAGATTTGTAGTTTCTTAACACATTGTGGACCGGAGGGGCCATATGGCCCTCTATGTTTCCAAGCGTTGCGCCCCGGTCGGGCCATATGGCCCTCTACGGTCACGTTATGTTGCAAAACGCTATATATTGCTGTGTGGCTTCGTTGAATCGTAACTACTGCGTAGATGACCTCGGGAATGATTGCTGCCTTATCTAGTAACTCGACCAGAGTCATTTCCTGTCACAACCTAAACAAAATTGGCTTTGTTCTAATCCAAGCTTGCACGTATGAACCACGCAGCTACCAGTTCAACATGGCTCAGAGACGAAAGCAGTTGCGATCTCTCGGAGGACAGGAAATATTAGATATGTTCTCCGATGATCTATCAGATTTGCCAACTGCTTCGTCTTCTGATAGCGAGGCCATTATCAGTGACAGTGACAGTGACGGGGGCCACAGGGCTTCCCAAAATGTGTCAAGTGAAAGTGAGAGCTCCGTTGAGTGTGCGAGTGTCAGGACAGCTACATGGGATGAAGTGACAAAACCCCCACTTTGGGAAAGTTTACTGATGATCTGGGGGTGAAGCAGATGCCATCGGACCCAACAGACGTGTCTGAAGTTGCGTCACTGTCTTTTTGGAGATAGTTTCTTTGACCTGTTGTGTCAGGAAACTAACAGATACTATCTCCAACACCGTGAGGTGTACGACAGAACCAATAATGTTTTGAAGTGGGTGGATGAAACAGAAATGAAACATTTTTTGGCTATAATCATTCTAATGGGGCTTGTGAAGAGAGAAAGTTTGAAGGATTATTGGTCAAGTGACCCATTTTTAGAAATTGCAATTTTCGGCAAACTCATGAGTCATAAGAGATTTGAACAGATATGGTGGTGTTTGCATTTCAACAATAATGAAGTGCAACCACAACCAACGGGCAGGCTTTTCAAAATTCAGCCCTTATTAGACATTTTGGTTGAAAAATTTCAGACAGTTTATAAGCCAGAGCAACAACTGTCTTTGGACGAATCTGTGATTCCTTGGAGAGGAAGGCTTCGTATTCGAACGTATAATCCTGGGAAGCTCACAAAGTATGGCCTACTTGTTCATGTTGTCACGGAAAGCACTTCAGGCTATATAGGAAATTTAGAAATTTATTCTGCTGAAGGCAAGAAATTATTGTTTCTGTTTTGGGTCCCTATCTTGATCAAAATTATCACGTGTATCAAGATAATTATTACAACAGTGTGACAACTGCAGAATACCTACTTCCAAGGAAAGTACGTATTTGTGGTACAATTAGGGTGAACAGAGGCCTCCCTCCAGATCTGAAAGAGGAATGTAAACGCCTGAAACGTGGTGACACCGCATTCAGGAGGAAGGGAGACATTCTTCTTCAGTCCTGGAGGGATACTCGCGTTGTGAATATGGTTTCCACTATTCACAATTCGAGCATGGTCGATGTTCAAAGACGACACGGGCAAGTAAAGAAGCCTCTTTGTATTTCCGAGTATAATATGTTCATGAAAGGAGTTGATAGGGCCGACCAGTTCTTGGCCTATTATTCCCTTCCTAGGAAAACAGTAAAATGGATGAAGAAAGTTGCACTGTGGCTTATAAACTGTGCAATTTTCAATTCATTTACAGTTTTCAAAAAGGTGAACAGAAATTCTACTTTGAAATACAAAGCATTTCTGTTGAAACTGGCAAAAGCTTGGGCTACTGACCGTCATGGTGGCAGCAGTACCTGCGTCAGACACAGACGTAGTGCAGCCGGGGCCATCTGTTTGCATCCGCCGGAGGCCTCAAGTAGACCCCCCTGGCTGACTCTCGGGTGATATGCGGAAACATATTCTCGTGAAAATTGAGAAGAGTGAATATTGCAAGAAGAAACACCCTTCTAGGCAGTGCTGTGTGTGTGCAGAGCACAAGAAGAAGAGTAGAACTGCCTACATGTGCAACTTCTGCGTAATGCCTCTTCACAAAGGGGAATGTTTCCAGAGATATCACATGCGCAAGCACTTCTAGGAGCTCTGGTAAGTGTTCTCCATAAATTTCAGTTCATAAAATTAATTAGGAGATTTTATATTAATTTTTAAAGTGAACAGTGCACAAGTTAGGGTAGTAGGTTTAAAAACGCCGGTCCCCAGGGTGATTTAAATGTTTAAACCACCAGTCCGCAATGTGTTAAATAGATCTCAACAAGAATTATGGGATTTGACACCCATCATGATTCTAACAATTTTCTTTTGCAATGTAAATACTTTTATACTCTCAGATGAATTATTCCATAATTCATTAAAGAGTGAAAGTAAGCAAATAGATTGATTTGAGAGTGTCAATGTTACTAATATGAAACATGAATCTACCTGCATAACATGCTCTACTTAGCTTTGGAATCAACTGATCGATATGGTTTTACCAGTTTAAATGATTATCAATTTGCAAGCCAAGGAATTTTGTGTTCACTCCCTCTTCTATATATTTATCATTATATCCTATGTTTAATGGATATTTTGGTGAGTGTTTTGTTATAAATTTTATTACATTTGTTTTTTTTAAGTTCAGGGACAGCTTGTTTGCAGAAAACCATTTACTCATTTGTGAAAGAACCTTACTTGATAATATGCAGAAATCATCTAAATTTTTACCAGAAATTATAACACTAGTGTCATCTGCGAATATTATAGGTATTGATGAGGTCCTTAGTGTAGGAGGGAGGTCAATATAAATTATGAAAAGCAAAGGCCCCAAAATTGACCCTTGTTGAACGTCATGTTTTATTATTCCCCAATTTGAGTAGGTACTTTGAATTGAATTTGATGATATTATTTCAATCTTTTGTTTTCTATCTGTTAGGTAGGATATGAATCAACTTAACGCTGTTCCTTGAATGCAAAAAATGTAATTTAGTTAACAAAATTTCATGATTTACACAGTCAAAAGCCTTTGCCAAGTCACAGAATATTCCTCCAACATGCATTTTTGATTTGGCGATATATGGAAATGGGGTGTCTCATATGGTGGTAAGGATTTATAATGCACTTCTCAGCTCACTTAAGCTAATTTCAAAGGATATAAAAAAGATTAAAGACAAATTAAAGGAATTGTTGTATTTTAATTCTTGTTATACATTGGATGAATTTTTATGAGATGACATTTTATGGTTATAATATATAATTATTTAAGCAATATGACAGTTGGATTAAAGTTCTTTTTAGTAAGAAACTTAAACTATCTGACAAAACAGGTTTTATGTGATTAAGCCTTTTTAAATTGTACATATTATTACTTGCATTTCTTATTACCAATTATACTCAATTTGTTATCTTATATTGTCAATGTTTAGTTACACCTTTTATCATTAATTATATTAACATTCTAAACTATTAAACTGGTTTTTAGATAATTGCTTCAATGTATAAGCAAGATTTGTACATAATATTTTGACTGAATTTTTTATTCTAAAATTGTCAATGTTTTTACTGTTTTAAGATTAATTCTTTTATGACTAATGTAAACCTTATCTACTATTGTTTTTTAACAGCTGCTTGATTGATAAGCAAGATGTGATTAAGCTACCTGATGATTTCTATATCTAATTGGTTGTTTTTTGACCTTGTAAAAATCTTATGAAATATGAATAAATGAATGAATGAATGATTAATAGATTTCAACACACTGTCTGTTAACTTAAAGGCTGCATTTTCAATGGAAATTCCTTTTCTAAAGCCAAACTGTTCTGGGACTAGTATATTGTTACTCTGAAAATAATGGCTTAACCTATTGTGCATAACTTTTTCAAGTACTTTAGAGAAAGTAGTTAGTAGTGAAATTGGCCTGTAGTTTGACATACTAGTCTTTCCCCCTTTTTTACAGTGGTCTTACTACTGAAATCTTAAGATGATCAGGAAAGATTCCTGTGGATAGTGAGTGATTACAGATGTGAGTTAATGGGCTACTGATGAGAGATTCACAAACTTTTAAAATTTTACTTGTTATTCCACCATAACCTGAAGAGTTTTTTGTTTTGAGGGACTGTATTATACTTTTTATTTCAGTTTCAGTGGTTGGAATGGTTTTAACTCTTTGACTGGCGCGGGCGTGTTTTAACGCCCGGACGATGCCAGCCGTTCCCTGGCATTGGCGTGTTTTAATGCTTTGACAATCTCTTCCCTTCTTTGCTCTCTTGGCACTCATCAACCAAAGACATATATATGATGAAGAAAGCAGTCTTCTGGGATTTGGCACCATGTATATGTGGTGTTAACCGACGTTTCGGAGGAACGTATCGCCCCCATCTTCAGGGTTGAAGAAAAAGTATAGGTAAATCTGCAAGCGACAACACCGTGAGACACGGTAAAGCAGACTGCT